CCAGCAGCTAAACTACTTTACAGGTTTAGACTTAGACAACACTTCCTTTCTTGTGTCCACACATAAAAAGGTTGTTATAAACAAATTGTTTCCTTCGTCTCATTTGATTCAACATTAGACAGTTAGACAACTCAAAACATGTCAGTGTTGATCATTAAACCACTGATTTGTTGAGCAGCACATTTAGCATCAACAGTTTGTCTCAGCTGCTTTCATATTTAAAATGAAGTCTTTGGTCTCTGCGCTGTGATTGGCTCTTCACCTGCCTCCTTTAGGACTAAACTCAGTCCGCCTGATGTGTTTGAATCTGCCGCTCTGTGACACCGATCACGCTTATTTAACCTCCAGGAGATGAACAATCTTTCTGCTTCTTGCTTCTTCCTGTGTGTGTTTTCGGGCTTTTCTGTCACTAACAGCTGTCTCTCTCTTTAACGCTGCCAAAGTCCGCAAAGGATTTAAAAAACATAAAAAAGCAAAAAAAGGCTTGAAGAAGCTGAAGCGACACGACAACAAAGCAGGTACGTTTGTATTTTATTTCACTGAGTTTCACCTGCTGGAGTCCAGTTTGTGATGAGGACATCTCAAAAGTGATGATGTCAGTCAGAATCAAATCACACCATAATGACTGAACTCGATGCAGATGTTCATCCCCTTGTCGTTCACACAGTCCAGACGTTAACGAGTTTAGTTTCAGTTTGAAATCCTGCAGGATCCGTCAGCAAGTGCATGGACTAGATCCATAAATAGACTTAATTAGGGCTGGGCACATGATCAAGTTTTCATTTAAATTATTTCTTCCCAAGATCATGAAAACATGACAATCAGGATTAAGTGATTACCGGCACTGCACACCGTGTTTCACTCGTTTTGTCCACAGGTTTTGTCTCGTGTGATAAATGTTTCAAAGTGTTTATTGTTTAAAGTTTGGTCACAAGAGTTCATCACAACTACCTCAAAACATAGTTTATTTATTTGTTATTATGGTTCTTATCAGGGCCCTACTGATATGGGATTTTTAGGGCTGATACCGATATCAACATTATGGAGAGAAAAAATCGGATGTTGATATGCAGATATAAGATTATGAAGTTGAATTGTCGTCTGCTGTGAACAAAAGATTAAGTAAACTTCCCAGCAGTCTTCACATAAACTTTCTGTTTAAGAGAATGATTTCAGGTTAGGAACATTTTCCTGCAATAAATAAAATATGTAAAAAAACATGCACCATGGAAATTACAAATACTTTTGACACCTGATATCAAATAATGTCAAACATTCAACCTACTGTCCCATATTTTGTCGTATCATCTCAATCTGTTGGTCCTGTTTCACAGTGTATTTGCATCAAATCAAGACTTTTATTTAGCCTTTAAAAATGTTATGTCCACTTCTGAATTTTCCTACACTACAAATTGACTCTGCTTATTTGGTTGTGAGAGAGTATATATATATTTGTATATATTTAAATGTGATTCTTGGATGCCGTTGGTTTTGACCCTGGCCTGATCTTTTGGCTGTGGATCGGCTTGTCAGGTCTGACTGTCCTGGTCTTGGATCTCTTCTCTGCTCTGTCTTCATAGTTTACTCTTGATTTCAGAGAAACCTCAAGAGGACAAGAAGGACTCATTTTTTGAGAAACTGGCAGCGCAGGTGATCAAAAACCTGCAGGTCAAGATCAGCAACATCCACCTGCGCTACGAGGACGATGTGAGTAATGGTGTCAGGTTCAGGTTCTTTGTTTGTGTGAAGCTCTGAGAGACATCAGGAAAGTAGAGTTGTCACGATACCAGAATGTTAAAGGAGCAATCTGTAACATATCTAGTGACTGAAATGATAAAGTGAGCTTACTATAAGATCAGACATTAAGGAGACATGCTATGTTGAAGTGCTGGCTTCTCTGACAACAATGCAGCAGCCAGTATGTCCTCCTTCTAACTTTAGATTCTGGTCCTGAATGCTCTGGATTTGTTTGGAACAGAGAGGTGCCACCCCCACACGGCCGTCCAAAACGGCCGTGTGGGGGTGGCACGACTTCGACTGCAGTACCCATTTTAAACACTGGGTGTCAGAGTTACATATTGCTCCTTTAACCTTTGATATGATACAAGTAAAAATGTAACAATATTGATATCTGTTTCAATACTCCAGCACTGTCTAAATTACACAAATTGACATTGACAACGAGTCAAACAGTGCCAACGTGGTTGTGAAATTTGGACACAATGTAATCTCACTGTGAATTTGAATGGATCACTCCTGCTCGCTCTCTTTTGCTCGAGGCAGCTTTTGATTTAATATTTCTGAAAACTGTCGTCTTTGAAAGATTTGGTACTTTTTAATACTACAGATCATTAAAGTGACGGAGATTGTATCGTGTGAAAACACGTGTTTTACAACCTAAATTACACCATTTCAGTATGATGTCATCGCACCTGTATCAACATAAAATAAATTACAATTGTCCAGGAGTTAATGTTACCTGAAAATATCCCTGTAATGAGACTTTCTGCTTGTTTCAGGTGTCGGACCCACAGCACCCTCTGTCTGTGGGAGTAACGCTTGCCGAGCTCAGCCTGCTGGTAACACACACACACACACACACACACACACACACACACACACACACACACACACACACACACACACACACTCACACACTCACACAATAAAACACAAATAACCACGCTCCTGGCGTTTGACATCGACTAATTTTTATTTTTTGTAACTTTCAGACCACGGATGAAAACTGGAAGGCTTGTATCCTGAATGAAGCAGCAAAAATCATCTATAAGGTGAGAGATCGTACTTGCTCTTAAACCCTATAATATGGGTTTATTTGGCTTTTCAGCATGACTTTGACGTCATTGACATGCAGATAAAATCGCTGATACGCGGATTTGAGAAACCCCGATTTGAGTGGTACAGTTAAAATCAGTGAGCGATGTTTTTGAAACCAACAGGAAAGAAATGTCATGACTAGAAAGCTCCATAAACGTGACCAGTTAACCAGAAGTTAGATGTCTGGTTCTCTGAAAGTTCTCGGTGTTATTGCTCCTGTTTCTGTTCCTTCACATATAACTGATGGTTCATATAACAGCCAGTCAACACAACAGGGCTTGATGACTTCACTGTTCAGGGTTTTGACTTGATTATCTGTGTTTTTATCATGTCAGCTGGGGCGTCTGGAGAGTCTCTGTGCCTACTGGAACGTAGACAGTCCCATCTTCTACAAAGGATCATTTGAAGACATCGTGGTAAGACCAACGCTCTGTGTCTTTTTAAACAAAGATAAAGTCGTCCTTTACAGCCACACGACAAACAACCCAGCACACATTAGACATTAATATGAATGAATTTGTGACACTCAGACTGCTTCACTGTCATCTAAAGTCTCAGAGTTTTACTCTTTCTATCTCGTCCTGCAGGATCAGTTGAAGCTCGGGATCAGCAGTAAGGATCAGGAGCTTCCCCATTATCAGTACAGTAAGTTTTTATAGTTTATATTATGAAGTACTTAGGGCGCACTCACATTAGGCAAAGTTGTCCTGTGCCATGCTTTAAGCAGGATTGTCCCCTATCCCCGTTCCTGTTTTATCATATACACATCCTCTTCACTGATTGGCTGTTGTGTTTGTTTCTAGTGTTCAAGCCGATCTTTGCTTCGGCTAAAATGTGCATCAACCCAAACGCTGAGCTGGAGCTGAAAACTCCAAAGGCTAACCTGCACCTTGAGGTTCAGAACATCGCCATAGAGATGACCAAACCACAGGTATGCATATGTGTACATATCCTTACACCAGGGTGTGTTGAACTCGCCTGGAAGTCCCACCTTCTGATTGTACAATATAATTCTGCTGACGTTTTATCTTGATTACTTTATTCATGTGTTTTGGTATCCTGTGTTGTTGTGGTCCTCTGCAGTACCTGTCCATGGTGGAGGTGCTGGAGTCCGTCGACTGCATGTTCAAGAACGCCCCCTACAGGAAGTTCAGACCTGATGTTTCAGTCCACAACAATACCAGACTCTGGTCAGTTTCACTTAAATCAGATCCCGAGTTACCTCTGTACAGGAGGTTGTGTTGTAGGACTGAAAATCAGTCTTGACCACTTTTTGAAGGTCTCGGTCTTTTCTCGGAATACATAGCATCCTTTCCTTAATGTCTGATGATATAGTAAGCTCACTTTATCTTTTAATTCAGTAAATATATTATTGGAGTTTTAAAATTACATCCTGTCAGAATGATATTTTCCTCTATTTCCTCCTCTATTTGTCCTGAGAGGACAGCTAGCGCTTGACTAACAAAGTGAGACATTGAGACATGAAGTCTGTGTTGTTTCTTTCTTTGACTGCCAGGTGGAGGTACGGCTTCAACAGCATCCTGGAGGTCCACATCCGACGCTTCAGTCGCATGTGGTCCTGGTCCAACATCATGGAGCACAGAAAGAACCTGAAGGCCTACAAGACCGCCTACAAGAACAAACTGCTGAGTCAGTCAAACAAGCCGAACCCAGACAACGAGCAACAGATTCAGGTGCAAACACGTGCATCGAGATGTAGAACACGACACTGATCAGTAAAAGCCAGAGTCTGTCTAAATAGATGGATTTCTTCAGCAGTCAGAGGAAGCCTAGATCACTCCAGTAGTTCATGATTTGTAATAAAACCAGATAGCTTAAGGTGTCCCCCTAGTGGTTGAAATGGGCATGAATTTCGCTGGGTGAAATGCACTCTTGTGGTCGGTGTGGTCAAGGCAGAACTCAGAGGAAGCATAACTTAAATTGTTCCTTGTCTTAATCAAAACAAGACTGTAAAACATGAACACATAGAAACAAAACTCTGGATCATTTCTCAAAAGCATGACTTACTTATGACAACTAGAATCTATCCCAGTAGCTGGCAACATCTTCTGTTTGCCGAGAGGAATGATGACTCGTCTGCCAACTTTTCTCCACTAAGAAATCAACTTGAGTGTTTCCTGTACACAAAACGCACAGACCAGCCTCTAAATCAGCGTCGCCCGGGGCTGTAAAACAATGAAGAAAGTACTCTGAGGCTTTTTTTGCCTCTTGGAGAGACAGGATAGTGGATAGAGTTGGAAATTAGGAAGAGAGAGAGTGGGGTATGACATGCGGAAAAGGAACCACAGGTCGGATTCAAACCTGCGTCACCCGCTTCCAGAAACACAGCATCTGTACATGGGGTGTGCTAACTAACCACTTGTCCACTGGTGCCCCACTCTAAGGAATTATGACAGACATTGTTTTCAGTCAGATTCTTGATCCAGGGTCCCTGTGCACAACCCCAATTTCACCCTCTGGAGTCACTGTCGACTTTGTGAGACTGATTTCCTTTCAGATTTTCCAGCCAAAGGTTTTAACAGAATTTCAAATGAAAATAATGTGAGCTACAGCCCTGATTCTGAATAATTGTAAATAAAAGCAGGCGCCAGGTTATAAATAATCCACATTTTCTCTATACAATCAACAGACTTGCAGATGGTTTGTGTCTCAGTTTAACCGGCTGATTAAAGTCAGTTTTCCTGGTGTTTGTTTCCATCAGGATCTGGAGAACGTTCTGGATGTCTTCAACATCACTTTAGCCCGGCAGCAGGCACAGATGGAGGTAAATATGACCAATCTGCAACAGACCTGCATCCACTCCAGTTAGAGAGTGTTTTAACCAGACCTCTTCTTGGTCCAGGTGATCAGGTCCGGGCAGAAGGAGTTGGCAAAGAAGGCGGCGGGGGGGCAGAAGCAGGGAGGAGGAGGTTTCTTCAGCGGCTGGTTCGGTCGAAAGGCTAAGAAGCAGGAGCAGGAGCCAGAGGACAGCAAAGAGTCGGAGAGTAAGTGACATCAAAGAACAGACACCCATTGTCTGAATAATTTTTGGTATTTGCAAACTGGTGGGCGAAAGTAGATGTTAAAAAAAAAAGAGGCCCGAGGATTGAGCCTTGGGGTACTCCAGGTTGCTCAATAATACATTTATAAGATTTTGGTGGTGAAAGTGCAGATGTTACTGTGACCTAAGTTACTATAAGTGGAATTAAAGGGGGGTTTTTCTTCCTTTTTTGATATAATTAAATAGAATAGAAAGGAAGCCTTTATTGTCATTGTTGATTTACAACAAAAATTATTATTGGAATACTTACTGATCTCGAATGATTGGATTAAAGTTAATTTGTTGAGTCTCTTTATTGAGGATTGGTATTTTATTTCAGCTTCGGGGTTGGACGATATCATGACATCAGAGGAGAAGAACAAACTCTACACTGCCATCGGCTACAGCGGCAGCTCTCACAACCTGGCATTGTTACCCAAAGAGGTGAGCTCACCTTTTGTGTTGTATTCATGTTTTCCACAGGCTGAAAATCTGTGCTTTGTCCTCCTTTGACACCATCAGGACAAGACATGTTAGAATCTCACGGACTGATACCAGACACAGATCTCCTTCCTGCTCCCCAGACAATTTACCCCTTCATAGACCATTGTCCACAGGCCTTTCTCGAAACCTTACATTTACTTTTCACGAGCAAATGTATTGTTCCACATGCACAGATATTAACTGCCACATCATAAAACTCTTTGCGCAAAATGTTTTGACTAACAGTAATGACTAAATGTCATAACTTTGTTTACTAAAGCTGGACTTTGAGTTGTCATTGTCTAAAACTACGAAGGGTAAACTGGACTTAAATGTGACGGAAAGTCATATGTATTTTCATCTAAAACTACTCTGCCACATTGAGTGCAGTCTAAAAGGGAGGATCGGGGCAGTGGATGTGGCTCAGTTGGTAGAGTCATTGTTGTGTTTATGACACAATGAGTGTTGTATGCGGAGGGACCGAGCAGCTTAGAGTGAAAGTTTGTGAAAAGCCCCATAACTTTTTCCCTCTTACCATCTTTATCACAATATTAACATGTATATCTCTACTGCTCTCCTAACAGTACATATCTCTTCAGGCGTGTGTTTATCCTGTCAAAGATTTTGTGTTGCAATAAATCCTTTTGCTTTTTGCATGCAGTATGTGGCGGTGGTCGTCACCTTCCAGCTGTTCAGGACCTCCGTGACGGTCAGAGAGCTCCCGGACATCCCAGAAATCCTCAAAGTCCAGATGATCGACCTCACCACCAAAATATCTCAGAGACCTGGAGCTCAGGCCTTCAGGTGAGCCCCCCCTCCTCCATCATCAGTTGGTTGGAGCTCCTCCCCCAGGCTTTTCTCAGTGTGTGTTTACAAATGGAAGCTCTCTGTGTCCCCCTGCAGGGTGGAGGCGGGGCTGCAGCACTGGTACGTTACAGGTTTACAACAGCAGGGGGTGGTACCGTCGCTCATTGCCACAGTGGGAGACTCGTCCTCGTCTCTGCTCAGCGTGTTGTTTGAGACGAACCCAGAGGAGAGCACGGCTGACCAGCTGCTCCGCGTCCACTCTCAGCCTGTCGAGATCATCTACGATGCGGTGAGCAAAATAAAAAAAAGTCTTTATCATCCCAGTAATCGCATTTTTCCAAGTTTTCAGTGTCCTTTTAACTTTTGAAGCTGTAGAGTAAAAGCATTTTTCTCCACTCTGAAAATAAAATTTATAATTGTTTTAAAGAGTTTAAAGTATCAAAGCAGCAGCCAGTATGTCCTCCTTCTAACTTTAGACTCTGGTCCTGAATGCTCTGGATTTGTTTGGACCAGAGAAGGTAGGCGGTTTTAAGGCACCCCCACACAGCCGTTTTGGAGGCCCCTCAGTTTGCCAGATATGAGACCGGTTATCAGGTCAAACCAACAGGTGTTGCAGTGATGGAAGCGGGCAAGAGAACTGGTTCAGATAGAAGTGATTGTACCCGACCTAAAAAGCCTCTGCATGTTTCTAATAAGCTCCACGAGCAGAAACGTGCTCAAACTAGGATCAATATTGGAGATGCTTTTGAAAAATGGAGAGAGGTTAGAACACAGAAAGGTTTACAGACCGATGCAGAGCTGGATAAACACTGAAGCTTCAGTGTCCACCACATGGTGACCTGTGTGAGCATCAACTCCAGAGAGAAGGGGGGGGGGGGGGAGACAGCTCTCTATGATGTTTAGAATTTAGACTGCAGTACACATTTTAAACACTAGGTGTCAGAGTTACATACTGCTCCTTTAATGGTGGGAGGAAAGCCAGCATTTTGTCATTCCTTTTTATTTGAGGACTTAAAAAACCTTTAAAGGTATGTGTCCTTTTTAATTGAGACCTTGGGAGTTTTTCTAAGGTCTTGACATTAGAAGAAATCAAGTGACATATTCAGAGTCTCTGAGATTGAACACCTCTTAAGGCTTGACTGATCGACAAGATGTTAAAAAAAAGGGCATTGTCTGCTCCACACTCCCTTAAGCAGAAATTCTCTAAAAACACAAAATTTGGACCTCTGATTGGGAATAATGAATGCACAAATCGGATTCTTCCACCAGAAGTCTGGTCCAAAAATGGAGTCAAACAAAGATTTGATCCTCTCTGGTCTCTGGTTTTCTTCTCTTTCATCTGTCCTTCTGTCCTCCTTTTTCCTTTATGTGAAACGTTTTTTTGCTTTCCCTCCTCCAGCTGACGGTGAACAGTTTGGCCGAGTTCTTCAAAACGGGGAAAGGTGTCGATCTGGAGGTCCTGACCTCAGCCACGCTCTCCAAACTGGAGGAGTTCAAATCGAAAACTGCCACAGGTCAGTAACATCAACACAGTTTTAGATCTGTCACTTCACAGTGTGATGTTTTGCTGATTGGTTATGCTTCCTGCAGGTTTGTCTCACATGATAGAAACCAGGAAGGTCTTGGATCTGAGGATCGACCTGAAGCCATCCTACCTGCTGGTACCCAAGTCGGGCCTGTACAGCAGCACGTCGGACCTCATCATTGTAGACTTCGGTAGTTTAAAGGTCAGTTCTGAAGTTTTATTTCAAGATGATGCGAGTACAGCGCCAGATATTTGACATTACATTTTCCATGGCAGTTCAACAGCGTGGAGCAGAGCGGTGTGAATTCGTCTTCATCGTCCTTCTCCTCCCTGGAGGAAATCATGGATCGAGCCTATGAGAGATACAACGTGGAGCTCAGAAGAGTCCAGGTGCTCCACAGCAAGTCAGGTACACAGCTATCAAACACACTTAAATATAACGATTCTTCAGCGGGGAAGTTTGTGTTTTAGTAAATCAGCTCTACTTGACTCACAGGCGAGGCGTGGAAGTCGGCTCGGCTGCAGGACTCTTCAGTCCAACACATTCTCAAACCGATGGATTTAACGGTCCAGCTGGCCAAGTGCATGGTGGAGAAGGACGCCAGGATGCCCAGGTAACGTGTCCAATCACTGAGCAGCCTCACCTGTGGACTCATCCGTACACTTTGCCAATGATCGAGTCATGTTATTGTGCGTCAGGTTGAAGGTGTCAGGTGAGCTGCCGCTGCTGCACGTCAAGATCTCGGACCAGAAGATCCACAACGTGCTGGAGCTGATCGATAGTATCCCTCTGCCCATCAAGAGCTCCCCCCCGTCCACCCCCACTGAGAAGGTACACATGGCACAGTCCGGTGTTAATTCAGCCATACCCACTGAAATAAACACACCATTCAGAGACAGATGAGGGTTATGTACCAAGGTCGGTCAAACACTGATAGAGACTGGTGGAGCAATGCCATAGCCACACTCAGGGAAAAAAGTTTAGAGCAGTGAAGGAGGATGTAAGGCTTGAGAAGAAGGAGTTTAAGGAGGGATTCAGGAATTTAGGAAGTTGTGAAGGAGGTGTTGGGAGGGATGGAGGAGTAAATGAAGATACATAATCGTGCAGGAAGTTAGTTTGGAGTTCAGGAAGTAATTGAGAAGTTGGGGAAGTGATTTACGAGTTGAGGAAGCGACGCGACGAGGTTACTTAAAAGTTTAGGGAGGGATGAAGGACATAAGTGGATTGATGAAGAAGTTTGGAGGACAGATGGAGAAGTTCAGTTTTCAGGTGAGCTGGGGAGGATTAAAGGACAGTGAGTTAAAGAGTTTAGGGAGGTGATTTGAGTTGTTATTTAGGAATTTAGGGCATTGACTTGCGAAAAGGTAGAAACTGTGCCTCCACCTTAAAAGATACCCCATGATGGACGCTGACATTTAGCTCATTTGGAGACTGACTCTAGAGTGCATTAGAGATCAGATGTGGTAGTCTTGGTATTGATGTCTTGCTCCTCCTGCTAACCAGAACACAAATTTACCTTACCGATAAAACCTCAGTTGGGTTCATGCCGCAGCAGAGCAGATTCTTAGGTCGGTTTGAAGCAGACGCTCACAGTTATGGAATCGGATCATCTGTTAACATGGAGGAGGCGGGCTCTATTACCTGTTCTGCAGCCAGTCAGCAGGGGGAGCTGTCATGTCGTCCATCTTTTTAAACTCTCTTATGTGACGTAGTTGATGAAGGGAGGAGCTTATGAAGTAATTTAGCAGCAGAGGGGGCGATGGAGGAGTTCAAGGGGTCGTTGAATAGTTTGTAGGAGTGTTGGAGAAGTTGAGCATTCAGAGAAGTGTCAGAGCAGTTTAAGAGAGTGATGAAAAGTGTTCAGTGGAGTGAGCAGCTCTGGGCTGATGTAACCATGTGACCGTATTTGGCTTTGTTTCCTGTCGTAGATGCTGCCATTGGTCGGGGCCAGAGCACAACTGCTCAGCCTCCACCCCTCCCTCCTCAGTGCCATGGATTCAGGTTGGTGCTGCTCACACCTGATTGGCTCTTAAATGACACAATAAAAAAATAAAAAGAACTGCAAAATAATTCCTAAAAAACAAATATACAAGTTTAAAGCCTTTTGTAAAGATGTTAATGACTTTTTAAAATGAGGGGATTAATGTCAAGTTACAGGGTAATGATCAATGGCGTTTCCCTCGTTAATGCTGACAGCTCTAGTTTTAAGTATTTGTGCTTCCATGTTTCAGATTCAGATGAAGAGTCCAGTGAGAAGTCGACTGATGAAGATCAGCAGCGCTTGGCTCTGGAGGAGCTCACCGACCTCCAGTTCAAGTTTGAAGTCAAAGAGGTTTGTGTGTTTCTGTCTTAGATGAGGTCATCATGTGACCTCAGAGGGGCGGAGCCTACCATCAGCCTTTTTAAAAGTGCAAAAAAAAAAAAAAAAAAAAAATGGAGTCCATGCTAAAGAGTTGAGTGTGTGCTGCGTTCAGGTGCTGTTGGAGCTGACCCGGCAGGTGGACCAAGAGAAGACGGTCCTCTCCTTCAGCGTCTGTCAGCTCGGAGCTGAGGGGAAGAAACGGATGTATGACATGAGCGTCACCTCATACCTGCGCAGGATCACTCTGGACTACTGCGACGTCCCAGGTAACAACTTCACACCCTGATTTAATTTAAAAAAAAAAAATAGATCTGCTCATCCCGGATTGGCTGGAAAAAAAGTTACTCAACAGGCCGTAGAAAGGTTTACAGACCGATGCAGAGCTGGCTAAACACTGAAGCTTCAGTGTCCACCAGATGGCAACCTGCATGCTCATCGATTCTAGAGAGGAGGGGGCAGGGGGAGACAGCTCTCTACAATGTTTTAAATTTGTACTGCAGTACCCATTTTAAACACTAGGGGTCAGAGTTACATATTGCTCCTTTGATAAAAACCAATAAACAAGATCCAGAAAGACTTTACCCTAGAAGTAAAAGATTTATTCACAAACCTTTTGAGTCCTGTAGAAGAATAAAAAGATAAACTGAACTGACTGAGACCTTTACCTGTTCAGGTGCTGTTTTCTTTGTAACCTGTTGTTTCTGTGTTTTCTCTTCAGACGGCAAGAACCGTCCTCTCCACCTGATCAGCTCCGCAGAGCAGCAGGGCTCCGACCTGCTGAAGGTGGAGTTCATCAAGGTGAGCACAAACACGCTCACCTGTTCTGTACAGCGACGCCAAATAATGAGGAGAAAAAATAGAACACTTTTCTGGAGATTATTCCACTCTTGAACGTTATATCCCTATCCCAAGAACCATAACAACAACTAGAAGGGTGTTTAAAATAAGATGGAGCAGTCAGTCTGTTTGGTGGAGGCTGTGGAGATGACAAGATGTTTATTGATGAAGATGAAGAACTCTGTAAAGATGATGAAGCTTCTGTTATTCCTGACTTTAACAGCTCTTCTGCTAACCGACCCTAAAAGCAGAGGTAACCCACAGACATGATGGAGTTCTAGCTGTTGACATGTTTTTCTGTGTGTCGTCCCGCAGGCTGAACAAAACGGTCCCAGCTTCCAGACTGTGTTCAACAACACGGAGCAAACGCTGAAGGTGGGTGGACGAGGTTTACTGATCACTGAAGTCTTACATCGGGGACATAAGCTCTGTTTTGGGTTACTGGTTAGGGCTAGGCTGGGGGGTGGACTTGGGAGGGGGGGACAGTTGAGCGTTGGCACGGTACGGGTCAACTGGGGTCAGTGTGAGTGTGCCAAGTTAAAACAGCTTATTTTAAAGAATGACCAAAATGTTTCACTGAGATTTTTCTTCCACACGTTGGAGTAGATTTAAAATGTGTGTGTGTGATAGTAAGCGATCCTAAGGTGACCACTGGTGTCTCTCCGTTTACCTGTTTTCTGTTCCAGGTGGAGTTTTCCTCTCTGCACTTCCTCCTCCACACTAAAGCTCTCCTGTCGACCATCAACTACCTGAACAGCGCCATGCCGTCGAAACCCGGCGCCGCCCGCGACCAGGACGCCAAAAAACAAGAAGTGGAGAAGATCGGGCAGGGCAGGACAGGTGAGTTCAGACTGCTCACAGGTGTGTGTGTGTGTCTGTGTGTCCCCGCCCCCCACCTCCCCCCTGACAGGAAGTGACACATGAGGCTTCTGCTCTCTCTGCAGTGTCTAAATCAGTCAAAGATGGCGGCGTGTTCAGCTTCAAGCTGTTTGCCATGTTGGGCTGCTTCCGCGTGGAGGTGTGTGATGACCGCTGCAGCATCGCCGACATCAGAATCCAAGGTGAGAAAACATGATATGAGCAGCTGTTGACACACGGCGCGTATTCAGCTTAAAGTTATTAAAAAGTGGAGATAAGCGTCTTCTTCATCCTGCTCGTTCTCAAAGGTTATTACTTTATGTCTGTGTTGAAGATCTCAGTTTATTATGTTGTTTGTTTTTGACATTTTCTTTCTTCATTAGTTATCTATTTTTACATTTTTTGAGCGTGTTGGAAGTAGGTTAAATATCATGTGGTGACGCCTCACTGTCGCCGCCCTGCAGGAATCGATGCGTCCGTGTTGGTGCAGGCGAAGGAGACGGAGGTGTTCGCTCGGCTCCGAGACATCGTGGTCACAGACGTCAACCCCCAAACCGTCCACAGAAAGGTCAAGAACTGTTTTGTCTCATTGCTTCTTCTCTGTCTTGACGAGTCTGATGTTGAGTTCAGCAGGTAATAACTGGATGACATAACCAGATGATACTAACCCCCCCCCCCCCCCGTTCCCTCCTCACAGGCGGTGTCCATCGTGGGTGAGGAGGTGTTCAGCTTCAAACTGTCCTTGTACACGGGGGCGACTGAGGGCGAGGGTTACAGCGACATGTCTAAGGTGGACGGGAAGGTCACCCTGCGTCTGGGCTGCATCCAGATCGTCTACCTGCACAAGTTCCTCATGTCCCTCCTGGTCAGATACTTTACATGCCTTCTTTGTATCCAAACATATTCTATATGATCTGATTGAACACACGGTGCATTCACAAAGTCCTCACAATCTCCAAGTGTGTTAAAGCTCATGTTTCATCAACACTTTCTGTCCCACAGTAACAAACAGGAGTTCAGAATAATTTGCACGTTTCTTGAAAACGACTGAAATCAGACATCGACTGAAGTATTCAAAAACTGCACTCTGGTTCTTAAGTTAAAGCTCAGTTTCTATTTCTCTGTCCATGTGTGGAGCGAGAGTCTTCACCGCCTCCTGTTGTATGAAAGTGAAAGATGAAACCCCTCGTGAAAGATGCCACCATATTGTGATTTCATTTGGAGCAAGATTCTGTAGGGATTGAGTGCCGCTGTTTTCGGCCAATCACAGCTCACTTCAGAGCAGGGCTCTCCTATTGGCTGTTCTAAAAAGCTAGCTGCACGTTCACGTCCTCAGAAAAGCCGACACAAAGGCGGAGATCCTGGAGACAGGTGACCCAGAAGAACCCGAGAGGTCACCCTGCAAAAACTCACATTATGAGCCTAAATTCCACCAGATGTGTGTGATCTCCGTCTCCGCTCCGTCATGGCAGCAGAGCTGATAGGTTTTCATTTTATTTAATGTGTGTGTGCTTCCACTGGCTCCGCTGTGCTGCGTCTCAGCTCTGTCAGTCCGCAGCAGATACGCACGGCTCCTATTTCGCATCAATTTAGCACAGAAAAGAACAAACGGGACAGGAAGTCAGACACCGATACAACATTAAAACATGCGGTTTAAGGTTGCACATGCCTTTCAAAAATACAAAATTATTTTTTTAAATGAATTTCTATTTGATATGATACTCATTATTGTAAAGATATATTCTAAAAAGTCGTTCCATAAAGGTTCTGGAGATGATGGGGGTCTCCAGTCTGTAGTACCTTTATTTTGGGGGTTGTAGGCTGAAAAGTTTTGGAACCCCTCGTCTAATGTATACCCAAAAATATTCTATTAGACTTATTTAAACACAAATTCACCTGGACAGAAAATAAGGCCTGGACTGTAATAAGTACAAATATCTGACAAAGTGTCTTCAAATGAGATGCACTGACTTATTTAGATATAGACATCTCATTTCAGGACACTCAGCAAGTTGTAAGATAGAGTAAAAAATATTCAAAGACGTAGAAACAGGAGGAATATTAAAGATTATAAAGAGTAATGTGTGTGTTTGTGACTGTAATGTGTCAGTGAGCATGTTTCCTGTTGCATGTTTCTCTCTACAGCTTGGTGTGTCTCATGTTTCTGCTCTGTTTGATGTGTTTTTCTTCCTCCAGGATTCTTTTAGCTTTCAGTATGCGTCTGCTGATGAGGTACAGCTTCCAGCATCGACCTCTGACCTGCATTCAAAACCTGCTGCTTTAGCTTTCACTAAGAGACTCCACCGCACCTTCAGCCCACCTTAAAAATATCATCTGGTTCAAGGTCATCAGCAGTAGGACATGTCCCCGTGTACTCGAGGTTGATAAGAGCATTTTGATTCAGTTTGCACTCAGTTTGACTCGGGGGACAAAAAAAATCCAGCGCACGTCGATGTTTCTCATCCAGAGGGAGATTTAGTTTCCACGGCCTGTTTGACACGATCCAGGAACTCATGCTCTTCATGCACAACATACGACAGTTATTCTCCATCAGTGCTATGCAACTCACTCAGCTGCCATCATCGACCCCCTCACTGCCCCCCCCCCCCTGCCTGTGTGAACTCACTCCCCCTCCCTGAAAAAAGGTCTCTAACTTTTTGAACTTCATTTCTGTCACAAAAACATTGTTGAACCTTTGAACCTCTGCTAGATGTTCTTCTTAGACTTATGAGTCATAAATAAAATATTAGATTTTTAATATCTTCACGAGTGCTGCCCTTAGAGTTACACTCGTTCAGGATTCAGCACCCAGTTGTTGGTAAGTTGAGTCAGATGTGTGATTCTGATTTTATAAATCTGAGGTTCAATCGTTCATTTGAAGCTTTTTGAAGCAGAAATGACCGAACGCTTTGTCCAGGCAGTGAACGCCTCACAATGACTCCCTTTGACTCCCTTTGACTCCCTTAACTGTGTTTCTCTTCATCCTGTGACGCCGCATCGTTTCCCCGTCTCACTCCTGATTTGCTCTCCTCCTCCAGATGTTCGTCGATAACTTCCAAACAGCCAAAGAGGCTCTGAGCGCCGCCACGGCTCAGGCGGCAGAGAAGGCGGCGTCCAGCGTTCGGGGCTTCGCTCAGAAGAGTTTCCGTCTCTCCATGGACATCAAGCTGAAGGCTCCGCTCATCATCGTCCCCCAGTCGTCCACCTCCCAGAACGCCGTGGTGGTGGATCTGGGTCTGATCACGGTGGGGAACAGCTTCTCCCTGCTGCCGGCTGACGGCTTTTCTCTCCCGGCGGTGGTGGAGAAGATGGACGTCAAGCTGACTCATCTGAAGCTCTCCAGGTATGAACACCTCTGAACACACTCTGACGATCATCAACAATTATTCAGAGTGAGCAGGGACATTATGTGTCAGATGTCAGAAATCCTTCCTGAGCCCTGATTGGAGGAAATCAAAACAAGCAGACAAACTGAGTTCTTATTGGATGGAGGGTTAATTCACTTTCTAGTTTATTGAAGGTTGTCGACCAGAAAATGACCTTCTGGACTGCAGAGGCATTTTAACACAGACTGCTCTTACTGTTACACCCACATCTAGGATACCACCTAACACCTTTTCACAAGGTGCCGACTTGAGCTTGTTTATCACATTTCTCGTCTTCTGACTACTCAAAGCACTTTTACACCGCAGGTCACACCTACACGTTCACACACTGATGGTAGAGGCTGCTGAGTGAAGTGACCATCAGAAGTAACTAATCCCATTTATACACATTCATTTGCGCTGTTGAAGCAGCAGGAGCAATTAGGGGTAAGTTTCCTGCTTTTGCTGACAATGACAAATCAGACATGTGGCTGCAGGAGCTGGGGATCGAACCCCCAACCGTTTGGTTGAGAGACAACAACTCTACCAGCTGAGTCCACAGCTGCCCCTGTAACCAGATGTAGCAAACCTAAACATCTCACATGGATAGAGAAAAACTAGAACACTAGTTGGAAGCTCATCCCTGAAACATTTTACTTGTTGGACAGATACCTACAGTGAAACAACAAGGGTACCAGGTCAGCAACATCTCAATTATCTAACATTTAAAAAGAATGGTTTTCATTGAGTGACCAATCGGTACATGACCCCTCCCAGGCGCCCATCCACTGATACGATTAGAATATAATGCAGACGCAGAAAATAATAACTATCATGACCAAGGTCATACCAATAATTATTCCTTTATTCAGTTCACCATTAGCTGCCACAAATGCAGCAGCAGCTCTTGATGGGGTCCACAAACAACAAACATACAAACATGTACATCAATTACGACAAATATAACATTCAACCAACGTAACAAACACAAGGGTGTTAACTCGCCGTCAGCAAGGTAGTTAGTTCTCCCACTCCATTTGTATTATTGACTGAAATAATTGATGAGTAGTCCATAATTCATCATCCATCCATCTGTCCATTATCTCACACCGCTTTTCCCATTCGGGGGTCGTGGGTAACTGGAGCCGATCCCAGCTGTCATTGGGCGAGATGAGGGGTACATCCTGGACTGGTCGCCAGTCAATCACAGGGCTGACATGTTAGCTTGAAAAAAATGACTCAATACTTCTTAACAACTACCAGAATCATCATTTGTTGATGTCTAATGCATTCAGACAAGATAAAGTCCACACAGACAGAATCAGAAGTCTGATCCAGTCTTGATTAAATGTGTTCTCAGGACCACACTGAAACAAGGCTCCTCTCAGCCGGACATCGAGATCCTCAAGCCAATCAACTTAGAGCTGCTCATCACCAGGAACCTGGCCGCTTCCTGGTTCACAAAGATACCTGGAGTCAAGGTCCAGGGAGTCATCCACTCCCTCAATGTAAGCTGCACATGTCCCCGGCTTTAGTTTGAGGTGTGCTTGTTTTGTTTTTATGAAGAAGAACTAGAGAAAGTGTTTGGTGTGTTGATCAGATGAGTCTGGGCGAGGAAGACCTCGGTGTGCTGATGAAGATCATGGTGGAGAACATTGGCGACGGCAGCGCAGAGCTCAGCATGGACGTTAAAAAACAAGTGGCTCAAGGTAACTTCACTCTCAGTGCATGATGGGAAATGTAACGACGATGCTTTTTCTGGTTTCGTTCTTCTTCATGAGGCTCTGAAACAAGGTTTGAAGACGGAGAAATGTATTTATATATTGAACTGTTTACTCCCTCAGACAAGGCGGAGCTTGCCGAGCAGCAGGTGGACGTGTTGCCGTTGGAGACGGAATCTAACAGAGTTCTGGTCACCACCAACGGAGATCTGACTGAAAACACCGTCAACGTTCTCCTCAACTTTGAACTCAAAGAGGTACAACAGTTGGGAGAAGTTTAGTTTAGACGTCAGATATGATGAGGAAGAAGAAGGTTTCATACTTTGTCACGGTCACAGTCCTCCGCTTGTCCAGCCGCTAAAGTCTGGAGTTCTTTAAAAATAACTTTTGTTGAAGGAGTTGATGCACTCAGAAAAGCATCGAAGGCAGGATGAGTTGCATTCAAAGATCTGTGTTACTGACACCAAACCCCAAATGCAATCGGGCCCGAAAGATGGTGGACTATGCCTGGGCGGGGTGAAGCCAGAGGAAACTCTGGTGGAGGTCGTAGCCGTCCTGACGTGCAAATCGGTCGTCCGTCCTGGGTATGGGGGCGAAAGACTAATCGAACCATCGAGTAGCTGGTTCCCTCTGAAGTTTCCCTCAGGATAGCTGGCGCGCCGAGTCTCGCAGTTTTATCTGGTAAAGCGAATGATTAGAGGTCTTAAAGCCGAAACGAACTCAACCTATTCTCAAACTTTAAACGGGTAAGAAGCCCGGCTCGCTGGCTTGGAGCCTGGCCGCCCTAGTGGGCCACCTTTGGTAAGCAGAATTGGTGCTGCGGGATGAACACAAATTGAATGCTAATGCTAATGCTACGTTATTCGCTCATCGTGAAATGTCCTTTTGCGAAGTTGTTTTTTTTTGCCCGTGTTCTTTCTGTAAACGTTCATGATTCTGTAGATGTAGCTTCTGCAGTTCTGACCTCCCCCGCTGATACCCCTGATTCTGACCCCCCTTTCCAAGGTGTTGCTGACCCTGAAGAAGCCCAAAGAGCAAAAGGAGTCCCCTTTCCTGGTGTTTCACGTGGCTCAGCTTGGCATCGACACCAAAGTCAGGAAGTACGACATGTGCGCCTCCACGTACATTAAAAAGATCACCTTGGAGTGCCATGAGTTTAAAGGTAAAGACTTTCAGAAGACCAGAGCAGCAGGTCACTTTTAACCATCCTTCCTCTGTGATTTACAGGCTGTTTCATTAGAGGAAGCTTTCTGTGGATTCTCTACCACTCTCTGTTTGAAGTCTTCTGTTATACGTGGTCAAACCTATCGCCATGTGCAGTGAGGATAGATCTGACCGTGTGATTTGTTTTGTTTCCATTGGTTTCAGACTGGAATGGCGAGCCGCTGTGTCTCATCAGCTCGTCGGTGGAATCAGGAACTGAACTTCTCAAAGTGCAGTATTTCCAGGTGATGACAGCCGTAACTCACCTTTAACACCACGACCTGTTCAAATACTGTCAGAGCAGAGAGGAGAGGATTACAGGTCAAACCTTTTGAAACTACCTGACCCTTTCTGTGTTTCTTTGTTCCCTCAGGCCGACCGCTCAGGATCAAACTTCTCAACCATCTACAAGAACACAGAGAAGATGATCAATGTGAGTTCATCCAGTCTACACTCACATATTCTCCACAGAAATGTACAGTCTGTGGTTTGGGAAAGGCTCTGGTTTCTATTGGTAGTACTTTCTTAGTCAGAGTAGTGTTGGCCAATCACATTTCAGCAGGATTACAATTTTTACTTTTTGGAAACCGGCATCATGATGTTTTTATCTGCAAACTTGTGAATGAAAGTAAATCACAAGAAACTGTTTCTTTTTTCAAAGTAAGCCAAAGTGAAGTCTCTGTGCGACTCACTGTTTACATTTGAACTGAGACTCACCTGATACAGATCATGGAGCGCTCCTCTGGGGGGATGTAACCAAAACATGACACTGTTTATTTTTGCAGAAATATCTGGAGGGGTGGATTTCGTCTCACTTTTTATCTGAAAGAAACAAAACAAAAAACAGCTGCTTCTCAAGCTGCTAACTGGACTGTAAACAATGCAGCACATGAAAAGGGAACTTTAAAGCCCTGAGTAAACTTGCTTTTAACTTTGTGTATGCGAATGCATGACATCAGTTGGTTGTGCTCCTACTCAGAAATTTACGCTACCCGTGCGCCAGATTCAATATGCATTTAACCACTAGGAGCAGTGTAGAGATGTATGGTGATGAGACCAGAAATGAGAACATCAGAGACACCAGAGAGCTGTTACAACAATGGTGGAAAGATTTGGTAGAAAAGTTAATACATCGAGTCCACAACTACCCCGCACTATGATGTGTCATTGCTGTTGCATAGCAACAAACATGTTTGCCAAAATAGCTGGAGACAGATCATCTCTCCTTCGGTGTCTTTACACCATATGTTTTATGTGGAGCCCCCTCTAGAGGAATCCTCCAGTAGCACACGTTGTACAAGGGAAAGTATGTTAACATTTACGTTCACGACGCTGTTGATTGTCTGTAGTACGCGTAGTTCAAAAGCAAGTCGATTTGAGCCCTCAGTAGTTTGTTGCTAACTGCTGGCCAAACTGTCACACGCATAGGTTTAATGGTTATTAGATATTAATCGTACGTTTTTTCTGTGATCAAACCTTTATGTCAGTGAGAGTGACTCCCTCATATTTGATTAGATTGGATGTGGTTATGTCCAGAGATTGATTAAGAAAAAACAGCCACTTATTTTGCACACTGAGGGGCTGTGGGGCTGTTTCCATCTTGGTTGGCGTTATCGGCAGGCGAGTGTAGACGGTTCTTTTTGGCTATTTTGGACTGCAGGAGCTTAGTGAGGGCGATCTACAGAACCATAAATAAGCGTTGCATTCGTAGCCTTATTCCCCAAATATACTGATTAATTTGGACTTCCCAGATTGAACTCTGAAGTCACTTTCAGGACACATATATACACTTTAATCACAGCCCTTGACTTTTAACACATAATTACTTCACATATTTTCTCTCTCTTTCTCTCTCTCTCTGTAGGTGACCTTCACCTCTCTCGACCTCATGCTCCACACTGAGGCTCTGCTCTCATCCATGAATTTTATTTCTGCGGCGCTGTCGTCTGCGAGTGTCTCGTCTCCAGAAAGAGAGATCCGACCAAAGACAGAGGACAAGACTGTGTCAGCAAAGTCCAGTAAGCAAAATCACACACATACATACAATGAGATCACATGGCATCCCAGTGTAAGTGTAGTGAAATCACTTGAATGATGATAGCTGAGTTTTTCATGGTGTTGTACTTTCTCCCGTCCAGCTGCCCTGGTGTCGCCTGCAGACAGTGAGGTCATCGACCTGAAGGTGATGATGAACCTGGGAGCCTTCAACGTCCTGGTGTGCGACCGGAGCTGCAACATTGCCGACATTAAGATCCAAGGTACCGCATCGCACATCCTGCTCAGTTGTCTGCTGTGAATATTCAACCTAACCCTGATTGTATCCAACTCTTATCTTTCAGGTATCAATGGCTCTCTTTTGATGCAAGGACCACAAACTCACATATCAGCCAGTCTGAGGGATTTCCTCGTCCTGGACATCGATCCAAAGACCGTTCACGAGAAGGTCAGTGAATGTGGCTCTTAAAAGATCCCATTTAATCAGAAAATACATCAGCCTGCTCAGCTGAATGCCTTCTCGATAGAGCAGGGGTGGGCAACTTGCGGCCCGAGGTCCACATGCGGCCCCCATCAACCCTCAACGTGGCCCTCAGGAAAAATTTTGCATTTCAATTAATTGGAAACATGAAAAAAACATGACAAAATCTGCCATGAATTCATGAAAACCAGAAATATGTTCATAATAATATTTGATCACTGGTATATGTTGAGTTCAATTTGAAACATAATTGCCTATAATCGTTTTTGTATCCTACAATTTGGCCCCCCTGGCAGTGAGAATTAAATGAATGTGGCTCTTGCTGGGACCAAAGTTGTCCATCCCTGCGATAGAGCAGGTGCCAACAGGTGCCTACCTCTTCCTCAAAACGTCACTTATCAATAAATCCTTCAGACGGGAGCTTCTTGGTGTGCGGGTCTTGTTTGCTTTTCTTTACCTTGATGTCTCACACCCATTTATATTTAAAGTAAAGTAATGTATCCGTCCTTTAGGCCATCTCCATCGTGGGCGATGAGGTGTTCAGCTTCACAATGAGTTTGACGCCCAACGCCACAGAGGGTGCAGGATACTCCGACACCTCCAAAACTGACGGCCGACTGAAGCTGAATGTGGGCTGCATCCAGGTGGTTTACCTGCACAAGTTCATCATGTCTATGCTGGTGAGTTCCACACACTTAAGTTACAATGAGTTCAAAATACTTACTTTACAAAAAAAAACCATTGGATTAGTTTTAACCTGCTGTTACTTATGTAACTACGGTTCTATGAATCCTGGATGACCACCAGAGCTTCTGATCCTCTGATGACACCTGAAGATATTGACTCTGGCGGTCAGGAAGGATGAAGTAGAATCTGAACTTTAATAACTGGAAGTAAGAGCTATTAGAGTTTCTTTCTTTAAATATATTCCTTTTGTGTTCTTGTTTACGTCTTTCTCTTCAGAACTTCACCAACAACTTCCAGACGGCTAAAGAGGCTCTAACCGCTGCGACGGCTCAGGCTGCGGAGAAGGCGGCGTCGAGTGTCCGAGACTTCGCCCAAAAGAGCTTCCGTCTGTCCATGGCCATTAATCTGAAGGCCCCGCTCATCATCATCCCCCAGTCGTCCACCTCCCTTGATGCACTCGTCATGGACCTCGGTCTGATCACGGTGGGAAACAGCTTCAGTCTGCTGCCTGCCGATGGATGCCCGCTGCCGGCTGTCATCGACAACATGGAAATCCAGCTGAAGCACCTGAAACTGTCCAGGTCAGATCTGATAGAAACATCACAGGCAATAATATGTAGGGCCTGACAGATAGGGAGTTTTTGGGGCTGATACCAATATCGATATTAGGCAGAGAAAAAAAAAAATCAGATACAGATATATCAGTTGATGTCTTTGTGTTAGTCGGCTATAAACAACAGGAGGAGAAATTCAACATATTTGGAGTAATCGTTCTTCTCTTCACACTTTTGACGGTCTAATCTAAACTTTGGTGATCTCATTAGGACCTGCATCGACCCGGCTACGAGTCAACCCAGCATCGAGCTGCTTGAACCCGTAAACCTGAACCTAAACATCAAGAGAAACCTGGCAGCTTCCTGGTACAAGAAAATGGTTGCCGTGGAGATCGATGGAGATCTGAAGCCCATGAAGGTAGGAGGAGGAGGAGGAGGAGGAAGAGGAGAGGTAGGAGGAGAGAGAGAGGAGGAGAAGAGAGAGAGGAGGAGAGAGAGAGGTAGGAGGAGGAGAGAGAGAGGACGAGGAGGAGGAGGAGAAGAGAGAGAGAGGAGAGGTAGGACGAGGATGAGGAGAGGTAGGAGGAAAAGGGGGAGGAGATGATGATGGGGGTTTTGAAAATCTTTAGCTCAACTCATCCTGAGGAAAATGTTTTCATTTTTTTAACATAATGGTGTCAGCAAAGATAATAATTCAAGCAGCAGGATCACTTCATCGCCTCTTTTCTACACAGTCTCCATTAAGAAGCATAAATAAACTTAACACCTGACTGTGACTGTCTTTGTTTGTCCTGCAGCTTTAAAAAAGCCTCATCGTCAGTCTTTTTTTTAGATTGTTTTGTAGAAAAGGGTTGACTAGATTTCCACACTGTGACGGACTCTGTCTGTTTTTTTTTTTATGCAATCAGTTGACTTGTACGCCACCGAAGGTACAACCGGTTTCCCCAGTGCTGGTGTGTAGAACTACTAGTGTCCTCTGTGTAGTGAAAACTGAGATCAGCTGGTCTGTAGTGACCCGAGTCCCCTTAGACATCACCATCAGGATCAGAACGTAGACCTTAAATATGCTGATTCAGCTGTGTGTGATCAGCAGGGTGCTGTTTAATTAGAGCTGGTGTCTGTGCTCGGTCTAAAGGTGAAGCTGAGTCAGGACGACCTGAAGGTGCTGCTGAGGATCCTCACGGAGAATCTGGGAGAGGCAAGCAGCCCGGAGTCCGCTGCCCCCCAAACAGGTGGCCAGTCTGCAGGCTCGAGCAGTAGGAGACCCCGACACAGGTCTGACAGACTCTATCTATCCAGCGCTCACACATCATCTTCTTTATTGTTCATACAGTACACATATATATTCATTTAAAATATTCTGTTTCACAAGAGAACACAATTGATTTTCCTTTTCTATTATTTTTCTTGATTTTTTGATCCCCTTCAAGTGTTCTGTTGATGTGATTTCTGTTTCCTGTGTTCAGGCGATGTTGGGAAAAAGACAGTGAGCAGCGATGAAGACGAGGAGGAACCTCTGGAGACCATGAAGTTCAACTTCAGCATCGAGTCTCTCGGTCTGGTTCTGTACAGCAGCGACCCCAAACAGGTGAGAGGAGCTCGAGTCTGTCGCTGCTGCTGGACCCAAAAAAAAAAAAAAAAGTCATGACGCTAATCATGTGAAATCTATGGTGGTGACGTGATCTGACCGAGGAATCCAGCTTGTTCAGGCTCAGCTGGTTCTGCTTAAGTTTTAATAATAGTCGTGTCAGGATCATCTGGTTCAGTGTCACCTGTAGCCTTTTCACACATGCACTAAAACTCCTTAAAAAGGTCCTGAAATTCTCATGTTGAACGCAAACGGCTGCAACTTTCACCCACTTTTTCCTGTCCAGCCCCCCTTGTTAAAATTCCCAAGAGAAGTCGGGGTGGGGCGTGTGTGAGTGCCGGTAATCATTGCAAGCGAGTGGGAGGGTGTATTAAGGACTCATTTCTGCTCTACAATTTGTTATTTTCCCCTCATTCGTTGATACTGTAAATACGTCTAATAACACAAATCTTTAAAGTCATGGCATGAACATTACATCCTCCTGTCCGTCAGAGGAAACTACACGCCATGTGTGACCTTTGTGAATGAGCCTTTCAGGAAGGTTTCAGGGGCAGAACCTTTGTAGTAGTGCATGTGTGAAAAGGGCTCTGGTTCAGGTTCAGCTGGTCCAGGAGCAGCGGGTCACTGATAAGCTGTGGTGAGCGGTGAGCACTCTTTGTCGTTGGCTCTTATGAGTGATTGTCGGTCCTCTTCCCCTGCAGCCCTCTGAGCTCCGGCACCAGGAGAACCTCAGACTGGGCGAATTCGCTCTGCACCTGCTGAAGACTTCAGGGAGGACAATGAACAGCGGCAGCATGGAGGTGACCACCATCCTCACCAACTGCACGCTGGACGATCTGAGGAGCGGCATGGAGAGAGTGACATCACGGTAGGAGTCACATGACCGCTGGATTCTGTCTGTCCGTCTGTCTCACTGAGAGGATGATCAGCATGCTTGAAGAGCTGCTACTACATGAGACAAACTTTCTCTTCTTCAGATTTCTGTTCAGAAGTTAATCAGCTCCAAACCTCTGCTGCCCCCATGTGTTGCTGATTTCTGATCATATCATGCACTTTTCTCTAGAAGGAAAATCCTGTTGCATGTAAAAACACGGCGTCAGTATTTAATTATTTCGATGATGTAAGCCCCTGTGTGGGTAACTCTAACCTTTGTGGGGTTTTTTTTGCCCCTTGTGGCTGCAGGATGCTCGGTCGCAGAGATGAGCAGAGCTCCGAGGCGATGATCGATTTGACGTATCGACAGAGCGCCGCAGAGAGGGAGGTGGTGGCTGTTCTGCAGAAACTCTACCTGTGTGCCAGCGTGGAGTTTCTCATGGCCGTCGCCGATTTCTTCTTGAAGGCTCTGCCGCAGACACCGACTCAGACCGCCGCCTCCACACAGAGTGACAGACTGCCGCTGAAACAGACCGCTGAGCCGCGAGCCGAGCCGAAGACGGGTAAGACCAGGATATCGATAGGAAAGGAAAATTAAGAACAAAGCAAAGAAAAACGAGAAACAAACACAGTGTCTTGAGTTATTCATTAATCCAAGAAGCAGTTTCAGACAGATCTCTGTTCTCTCTGCAGCCTCGGCGGTCAGGACTCGTCTCCGGGCGGTGGTGGTGGACCCGGAGGTGGTGTTTGTGGCCAGCTTGATGAAGGCCGATGCCCCGGCCCTCGTGGCCTCGTTCCAGTGCGACTTCTCCCTGCAGGGCGAGGCGGACGGCACCCAGAACATGAGAGCCAACCTGAGGGAGCTGAAGGTCCTCGCCTGCCCCTTCATGCGATGCAACGAGGAGGACAAGGCCGTCACAACGGTAAGGTCACGTGACCGACACCAGGGGTCACTGTGACTGCAGCACGCAGCAGCGCCTGCAGATCAAGAGTTTGAAGGAGAAGTTGTATTTTTTCATTCAATCTCTTAACAAAAATACAACAAGCCTAAGTCACATCAGAAACAGAATCGTCCCTGTTTCCCGCACATGGAGACAACTAAAAGAACGCTCTCTTGACTGATCATTCCCACTCTGTCCATCAGGTGCTGAGACCCTGCTCCGTCGCCTTGGAAACCAAAACCCACCCAAGCCAACCACTGAGCGGCTCTGTGGTGGTGGAGGAAGTCATTGTCAAGGTACGCTCGTTGATCGATCATGGATTTAAAGTGTTTTCTCCTGCAGAAGCCAGGAGGTCAAACTGGCTTCTTAACATCTGGGTTTGTCTGGATTTGTTGTCGATTTTCTGGACTCTGGGCTCACACCTGATAATAACCCTGCATTCAAGTGCTCCTCTGATACTCAGAGTTAACAAATTGAGATGTAAATTGTTCAACTTTGCTGAGTTCTTCAGGATTAAGCGTCGGAGTGGAAACAATATGCACATTGAAACCAAAACTAATCCAGCTCACTCCTTTTTACAGCAACAAAGGGTCATTGAATCTCTCATCTGTTCTTCTGTTTTCCTGCAGATCTCTCCGTTCATCCTCAACACGGTGATGACGATAACGGCCGCCATGACGACGACGAAGCAGCAGCAAGATGAGCAGAGCGCCGAGTCCAAGCTGGACACCTCGGACCTCTGGTCTGTCATGAACATCTACGGCTGTAACTACTGGTTCCTGGGCGTGGACCAGGCAATGGAGGTCACCGAGAGCTTCACAGTGCAGGACGGACGGAACGAGGGCGAGAGCTTCGCAGCGGAGATCAAGGTCGGAGAGACGTCGGCTTCTCTGATAATGGAGTTTATTCTGAAACTTCATCACTCTGGGTGTCGTTTTATGCATCCTGCTGATGAGTTGTTGTTGCCCTACAGGTGGTCCAGGTGACTATGGAGTCCGGTTTAGGTCACCGGACCGTCCCTCTGCTGCTGGCCGAGTCTGCCTTCAGCGGATCGGCCAAAAACTGGTCGTCTCTGATGCAGCTGAGCGCCGACATGACGCTGGAGGTGAATCCTGATCCTTTATTTCTAACATGGATGCTGATTACTGAGACTCTTCAAAAAAAAAAAAAAAAAAGACAAACTTAACACCAGGAGCTGAAATATATTTAAAACTTGTCATTCATTTATTCTAAGAAAGGTTACCGAAATATATAGTGGGAGTGTCACCCACCTGGGGGAGGGGCTACTGCCCTTTGTGATGTCATGAAGGGTAAATCTCAATTCTGAGTATTAATGCCTCTATTCAGACTGTCATTTCAAGTCGTGACATTACAACATGATGATGTCACAGCGGTACTGCCAGCACTTTTGCAGAAAAGAAAAAAACGTCTGAAAAGTGCTGATGATGCACATTACTGCAGATGCAAAACGAAAATGAACAAAATGACAAAGTATTCTCATGTATGAGGCATCGTGCTGATATGTGTTGTGTGTGTGTGCTGATGCAGGTGAACTACTTTAATGAGACCCATGCAGTGTGGGAGCCTCTGATTGAACGGGTGGACGGCGGCAGCCGCAGATGGAACCTGGAGCTGGAGGTAAACCTGTTATCTGTCTGTTGATAGCTACTGAAAACCATCTCTCATCATCTCCCTATCTATCGATTGTCTATACCGCTTATCCCGTCTGGGGCTGGAGCCAATCCCAGTTCACATTGAGCAAGAGGCGGGGTTAACCTCGGACAAGTTGCCAGTCAATCACACGCTAGACAAACAAACATGCCTACCAACTCTACATGCAATTTAAGGTTCGAGTATACTTCCTTTTGAACCACTCATACTCACGGACAACCGGCTGCCTCCTGAACGTAAATGTTGACTTACTGGCCTATGGACAACGTGTGTTACTGGAGTATTCCTCTAGAGGGAGCACCACCATATTGCATTTTGTGAACGTGGACGTGCACAACCAACGCTCCAAACCACCGCAGGTTACGCAAGGCTGACGTCATGCGTTCACATGTTTGGGCTTCAGAGTCATAAGTTAACCTGACGAGCATGTGTTTGAACTGTGGGAGGAAGCCGGAGTAACCCACACATGCTCAGGGAGAACATGCAAACCCGACCTCCTCGGGGCGGGGATGTCTGAGGCTACAGCACTTACCAAAAATGAAAAAGTTAAACATTTTCCTTTTTGAATTACAAAGAGAAAAAAAAGCTTGCTGGTGAATTTAACTCCTGGACTTTTTACTGTGATGTGACAATGCAGACCGCTGTGCTCCCCAGGTTTTCTACTTATGATGGTGTTGATATTAAATCTGCATAAATGACTATCATGTTAAATAAACTGGATAAGAATCCATGTTAATTGTCTTTGATCCTGCAGATGAAGAACAACCCAGTTAAGGACAGGAGTCCAGTCCACGGGGACGACTTTGTCATTCTGCCTGAACCTCGCACGGCCATCAGCATCTGCTCCAAAGACACCATGAACATCACGGTCTCCCAGTGCACCCTCAACGTCCTGCAGAACCTCTCCAAGGTGCAACACAGTGATAAATGCTTCTTAAACTAACAAACAAGCAAACAAGAGAAGACCTACAATCTGGAAAAAAAAGTTCTTCTTTTATTCAGAGAGTGAAAACATGAATGTTTGCACAGCAGAAATAACTAATAAGAACATGTACATGAACCTTGTGTCTTGTGCTCTTGTGTTTGAGTGTATTGTTGCAAAAAGAGTTGTATTTAAATCTGCTGTGTTTGTCATTGCTGTGTTTGCGTTTTCCGATCAGGCCTTCTCAGAGGGCACGGCCTCCACATTTGACTTCTCTCTGAAGGAGAAGGCCCCCTTCACCATCAGAAACTCTCTGGGGATTCCTCTCATCGTGCAGCACGGCGCCAGCCTGAGGCCCGTGTCCTCGCCGTCGCTGGGAAAGCTGCACGAGCTGCAGGTGGATCAGAGCATGGACCTGGAGTACTCCATGATCCGGCTGTCCTCACGGGGAAAACTGTCAGCTCTGCAGCGGCAAGAGAGCTGCCTGTTCAACCTCAGCATCGGTCAGGACGCCCTCTCCTTCACTTCATTATCTGCAATGCTTTAGTTAATGTTAAAGTGCTGATACCTTCACTTCCTATCGTGTAGTTTTGAAGCAGGCTGCATGCTATAACAGGTTAGAGACCGTTAATGATTTGTCTTTTATCCAACAGTTCCCTCGGGTTTCAGCGAGATCGCAAACATTGCTGTAGACAAACCGGGTCGCCGTCTCTACAACATCCGCGGCCCGATGGAGCAGGATGCGGTTTCTGTGCTGATGCAGATCGACGCGGACCAGGGTAACAAGGTCATCACTGTCCGCTCACCGCTGCAGGTCTGAAACCCACACACACACACACACACACACACACACACACACACTCAGGACACTTCACCACACAGACCTCTTAAAGTCTGAATATGTCGTCAGTGTTAACTTTAGTTTTTTCCTTCTCAGATAAAGAATCACTTCTCGGTGCCGTTCACCGTCCTCAAGTACTGCCCCACATCCAGGAGCCTGCAGAGCATCGGGCTGGCCCAACCTGAGACAGAGTTCCACATCCCATTAGAAACATACAGGTAGCTCCACACTGACTTCCTGGGTCAGCTGCACAAAGACACATTTGTTAGCATGCAGCACCATCAATGTTTTATGATTCTGGTAGATACTCCCTATGAAGGTTATCACATCCCCTCTGCTGCTCTGAGTGTTTGTGTTGTTTTTGCACATACTCTAAAACTTCACATAAAAGCCCATCCCAGTGTAAGGCCCGGTCCCTTTGACTAGCCTGCTGTTGCCACATGTTCGGACTAATGAAGGCAGCTCTAAGTTAGAGTCTTCTCTGACTGAAATAGTGAGTGGATCAAAAATAAGGAGGAAAATCAGCACGAGACAAAAATTAGAGACAGGTGTCCAAGAAAGACAGAATAATGCTCGTATGTATTGACGCCTGTCCCCGATAAAGGCAGAGTAATCTCATAGACCGAAGGAAATAAAAGCCTGGGCTATGAAGAGACGTTTTACAGTATAATAATTAAAGAAAAGCTGCAATATGTGATCAGGATCTCATGGTTCTAAAACACTATTTTCATAGATTTGACCATTTATTGTCAAATGAAAATACAGCTGAACTTTTCACTGATGGCTCTGTTAAAGAGCGACATGCCACAGCTTTCCAGGGAGCGCTACGCTCATGAGGGCGCACCAAAAGCCTTTAGACCTGAAACGTGGAGGCTGGGGGTTGTGGAGATTAGAGAGTAGGAAATCGAGATGAAACGCCTTGACGTGAGAATGAGCTGAGGTTGGTTAGTTTGTGATAAGAAGAAATAATTCAGCACGTTACAGCTGGGGAGTTTGACTTTAGTGTCCTGCATGAGCTCTGCCAACATTCAAATGTAACGTTTGATCCAGACTACTGTTGTCTCTCACAGTTGGGCATTACTGGTCATTTTTTATTAGTAAAATAAAAGCTACACTTTGTGCTTCTTGAAGGAGCAAGACTGCAGGAGAAATGAAGGGAATATGAGACAGAGGGGTGAAGCTTTAATAGAGGGAGCTAGTCGGTGAATTAAAGAGAAAACAAATACAGAGGAGAGAAATCCAACTTTCTATGCTCATATCTTTTTGTTGTTGGTGTCTGCATCTTTTTCATTTCTGCGTGTTTTGCTTTTGTCCATTTATTCCTTTAAGCTGAAATCTCAGAGTCAAAAAGTGTCCTCCTTTTGGGCTTTATTTTTATTATTTAAACTATTCTTTACGGCTCTGCAGATGTCTTTGGGTTCCTAGTTGAGCTTCTGACTTCCTCTCGTTCCTGAACGAGAGCTTAACTTGTCAAACTGAGAACCCTGGAGCTCGCTGATAACATCCTTTATGCGCGGTTGATCCAGCAGACAGAGAGAGCGTGTGTGTGCAGCCTGTCTGTGAGAGTTTCCTGCTGCAGGTGCTGCACCAGGTGTTCAGGAGAATGTAGACACTGAAATGTTTAACCCCCTCCCCCCCCTGTTCCCCCACCAGGTGTCAGCTGTTTGTGCGTCCAGCAGGAAGCCTCGAAGGTCAGTATCGCCCGTCCTCCACCTGTGTGGCGTGGAAGGAGCAGGTGCACCGCAGCTCGGAGGTGCAGTCCATGCTGCAGTGTCCGGCCACCGACAGCAGCCTGATACCGCTGACGGTCAGCACGCTGGCTGTCCCCGACGACCTCAGACACATCGCCAGCCACGGACAGGAGGACTGGGACCCGGCCTACGTCATCCACCTCCACCCTGTGGCCATGCTGCGAAACCTGCTGCCTTACACCCTGCGCTACATGATGGAGGTAAAGAATGAAAGGAGTGAAACATAGGTGATGATAAATCCTGAGCTAAAGAAATCTAAACTTGGGGCGCTGGTTGTTAGAGCGCACGCACCATGTATGGAGGCGGTAGTCCTCCAAGCGGGCGGCCCAGGTTTGAATCCGACCTGTGGCTTCTTTCCCGCATGTCATTCCCCACTCTCTCTCTCTCTCTCCCCAATTTCTGACTCTATCCACTGTCTTATCTCTCCAATAAAAGGCACAAAAACGCCCTAACCTTAATGTTTGGTCTTCTCAGAACTCTGCAGACTCTTATGAGCTCCAGGAGGGCAGCACGTCCGACCTCCTGAACGCCCGTGTCGCCGGCGAGATCGTGTCCCTGGTGCTGATGAGGTATCAGGGCCGGGACTGGCACGGACACATCCGCATCGATCAGGAGATTTCCGAGTTCTTCGCCGTGTGCCTCACCTGCGACTCGGACACCAGCGTCACCATCGACGTGAGCATCCACGTGACGAGGACGTGCGGCCGCGTGCTCCTCTCCGTCTTCAGCCCGTACTGGATCATCAACAAGACGTCCCGAGTGCTGCAGTACAAATCGGAGGACCTCAGCGTGAAACACCCGGCTGACTTCAGAGACATCATCCTGTTCTCCTTCAGGAAGAAGAACCTGTTCAGCAAGAGCAAGGTGAGCTGATGTCTGCCTCTTCTCCTCTAAAAAACTGCTTTTTATCCATAAAACATTCGGCTTTCAGGAGGACAGGTGGTTTATATTTTAATGATCCTAATGATGTAATCTCAGCCTTGGTGCTTTAGGTTAGACCTCTTTAGTAGTTTTTTTTATTTTGAGATTTCCTTAATTCTGGTCTTATTGGTGTCTTTTCTCAAATTTTGAGCGTTTACATTTTTTACCTTTAAGATGACCAGAGGTTCTGTTGTGATTTTTAACACTTTAAACTGCTTAAAGGTCACATATTCTCCTCCTCTTCAACCAGTGTAAATAAGTCTCAGAGCTGCCCAAAACATGTCTGTGAAGTTTCTTGTTCTAAATCCACTCTGAGACTGTATTTGATCATGCCTATAAACTCCTCTATTTCAGCCCTGCTCAGAACAGGCTGTTTCTGTGTCTGTACCTTTAAGTGTAAATGAGCTTTGTTTGACTACGCTCTCTGGAAGGTCTTGGGTGTCTCGGGCTTTCTCGCTCCATGTCCTATTGTTTACGGTGAGAAGGCAGACTCAGAGGGCAGAACAAACACCTAGCTGTGGAGTGTCACCCACCTGGGGGAGGGGTTACTGCCCTTTGTGATGTCATGAAGGGAAAATCTCCTGTTCGGCCTGTTTGAGCACACATTTTTTGAAAAGTGGAGCAGGCAAAAGACAGAGAAGATGGACTTTTCTCATCATTGGGGGGTTTGTAGACAGACTATAGACTCATATTAGTGTTAGAGAATCATGTAGAAGAGAATTCTACATATGTGACCTTTAACTGTGTTGTTTGTTCTAACAGCAGACTTGTGTGTTGTTGTTTCAGCTCCAGCTGTGTGTCTCCACCAGCTCCTGGTCTGATGGTTTCTCTCTGGACACTGTGGGGAGTTATGGCTGCGTTCGCTGTCCCGCCAGCAACATGGACTTCCTGGTAACTCCAATCTTCCCTCAGGATCATCATTAACTATAATATGTCCATTGACATGTCAAAAGTCCGATAATAATTTTGACAAAGAATTTCTTAATTTTCAGAACAATAATGCAAACTACCTTTTTCCTTCAGCTTTAGAAATGTAAATATCTACCCTGTTTTTTACTTTACTTTTATTTTGCTACTGAACTGAAAATCTGCTGCTCCGACTCAAGAACTTTACAAATCTGTTTTTTCTACGATCCTGTCTGACCTCTTTTTCTAATTTTTATAGACAAGACAAGGAAGTGACTGACGAGACATCTGCGTCTTTCCGTGGGCTTCATCACTTTGTGCGTCAACGTTTTTGTTTGTGTGTCCAGGTGGGAGTCAGCATCCAGATGAGCAGCTTCAACCTGACCAGGATCGTCACCATGAGTCCCTTCTACACGCTCGTCAACAAGTCGTCGTATGAGCTGGAGGTGGGGGAGGTCATCAACCACAACTCTACCAAGTGGCACTACATGTCGTCCACCGAGGTGAGCACGGCGCGTTCTTACGTTGGCCAATAGACCAGAAGAGATTGAGTAAAAACTACAACTCCCAGGGAGCATTGCTCCAAAAACCGTCCTGTCAGGAAGCTTGCTATGTGATCACTTTAAATCCACACAGGAGCAGAGTTTGAATCTAACTATGATGCTGCTCCTGATGTCACAGAATCTTCATTTTGACTGTTACCATGACCACACCAAAGAATCTTTGTATTGTTGCTTACCGCAGTGCCTCCCTCTGTGGCCGGAGAACACTTCAGGGAAGTTGTGCATCCGCGTTGTGGGATCTGAATCCACCTCCAAGTACTTCTTCTTTAACAAGCAGGATAACGGCACCCTGCTGAGCCTGGACATGGTGAGAGTCTCTGCAGGACCAATCACATGAGAGACTTCATTACTCTGCGTGGCTTTTTGATGTGAAGCGTTTGTGTGTATTTTTTTTAGTGCGGTGGGATCATTGTGGACGTCAACATGTCTGATCTGTCCACCCTCATAAGTTTCAATGACTACTATGAAGGAGCCGCTCCGGCCCTGCTGCTCAACCACACACCCTGGGTCACCCTCAGCTACAAGCAAAGGTCAGATGTTTACACACACACACACACATTTTTAGCAACTCTCTCAGTTTTCAAAGAATTCCCATTTATTAAGTAATGTTTCTCTCTGTAATTTTTGCTGCTCAGACTGAATATAACCTATCCTTTAAGTGCTGTGCTCACATGGAGTGAAGGAGAAACATCACATTTTCAGTTCATTTCGGGGGGAAAAAAAGCCAGAAATATCAAACATACGTCTGACACTAATAGAAACTTTAGGAAAGCAAGATCATCCAAGGTGTACGCAACACTAAATATGCTGCTGAAGTCATAAGTGATGCTGGTGTCAAATGTCTTTCTGCAAAATTTCTTCTGACCTTTTTGACATTATAAATGACACCTAACACACTCCTCACTTTTTCTTCTCCAGCGGCTCATCGGTGGCTCACCAGCTGAAACCTGGCGAGGCTCGGCGGTTTGTTTGGGACGACCCGGCCGGCGTCCGAACCCTCAGCTGGAACTGCATGGAGCATTCTGGAGAGCTTGACCTGCTGAAGGTCGGACACTGAGGGGTTGCTTTTATTTCAAAAGACATGATAACAAAGAAATGTTGGATCGAAAACTACCTAAAAATGTCCTTTACAAATATGTGAAAATGAGCTCCAATATTGTGTTTTCTTATACTTCAAGTTTTTCTGAGCCTCTCTTATTTCCTGTAAAAAAATATAAATATTCTTACTGATTTAGGAATATCTTTCACACTAAGTAGGTTTTTTTTAGCTTGTTCTGATGCCCCAGAAGTGGCAAATGAAATTAATTCGGGCAGTTTCAACCAAATGTAAAATGTAAAGGACCAAGTGTAGTACCCTGAGGGATCCCACAAGTGATTAATCAAGTAATAAAAAAAACCCACTGACACAGCAATATTTCTCTGTCACGATAGTATGTTAAAACAGGCAACAAGTGAAGGTTGGAGGAAAATTTTAGACCAAAATATAACATTTTTACCTATTTGCCCAAATTTAAAAACTGTATCCATTGAGGGAAACAAGCTTGCAAGAAAGATTAAGATTTTTATATTTCTAATGTTATATTTTTTAAGATAGTTTTACTAACCACCAGCACAGCTTTTAAAATATGTAAGTAACACACATTTCTCTCCCAGTTTAAACTTTTTTAAAGCATCTCATAGTCACCTACTAAGCAGTATTTCTGTCTTTGTTTTCTTTAATGAGAGCCGGAAGGACCTTTAGTGAAAAGATTCAAAAACAAACATAATCTTCCTCTGACATTCTGTCGATTTCTGGTCTCTGGTTCAGGACGATGTTGGTCAGTTCGCCTATGACAGCCTCTCTCAGGTCCACTGGGTGTCCTTCCTGGATGGACGCCAGCGGGTGCTGCTGTTTACCGAGGACGTCGCCGTGGTGTCAAAGGCTCGACAGGCAGAGGAGCTCGAACAGTTCCAACAGGAAGTAAAGGTGTCGCTGCAAAACCTCGGACTGTCGCTGATCAATAACACGAGCCGACAGGAGATCGCTTACATCGGCATCACCAGGTAAACACCGTCACATCAGCAGGTCAACACACCAGCAGGTAGATAGGCTCTGAACAATGTGTTCGTGCGTTACAGCTCCGGTGTGGTTTGGGAGATGAAGCCAAAGAATCGCTGGAAGCCTTTCAGTCAGAAAAACATCAACCTGCTGGAGAAAACATACCAGAGTCAGCTGGACGGGAAGACCGAAGGAGGCTGGGTCAAACTGGAGCCCAACCTGGAGGTCAGAGATCGACACACATTAACACACTGATCACTACATGTGACAACCTCATTCTCACATATATGAGAGGGAAACTAAACACTTAAACACCTTGCAACAGCTATCTGCCTCGTCTTAAGGTCCAACTGGAAATGGTGCTGAAGATATTCCATGTGTTATGTGTCTGACTGTCAGCTCTTCCACTCCCTGCTGATGTAGGGTTAGGGTTAGACACACAGAAAGGGGAAATTTGTCTCTTTAAGCAATAGACGTTCTGGATGTTAAACCTAGAGATGCGTCGAATCAGAAAATCAGGGCTACTTCCTAATTCTTTTCGTCCACGTTTTTCAAGACCAAATTCAATGTGAGTTGATATATTTCACTTGTTGCTAGTAGTCCTTCCTCTTGAAATGTCACCGGAACATATGTGTACAAACTGCATGTCACTGATTTTTTCCGGAGAGGGTGCGAGACTCTCACACTGCCAACAGTTTCCATCAGGTTTGACCATGAAAACAAAAAATCTCCTTTCTGAATCAGCAGTTAAGTATACTCGCATGCAAGCTTTAAAATGAAGCGACACAACAGATATATATATTGATTCCTGACAACCGTGCATGCCACATTATTTACTGATGTCTGCACACAGGACCAATATCATTAAGTCAATGCATCTCCAGTGAAACACCTCATAATTACTGCTCTTCAGATTCTTTGGCAATTGTGAATTGGACTGATTTTACAGTGACACTTATTTGCATAGAAAGAGGCCGATTTTGCACCAAATGTCTGCTTGTGCTCTTGTTTCAGTCATGCAAACAGCACTGTAACAGAGACACTGTTTGCTTGGCACTTCAGTTAGGGTATGCAACAACCTGCAAGTCTGTTGTCTTGTTTCTATAGATATGTTTTCTTAGTTTCAGCTTTGACACGCTGACGTATTATACAAACAAAGGTGCATCTAAACTCCGCGGCATTCCTTCTTGACCTTCAATCATATTTCAGTTGTTTCTCCAAATGAGGTGAGTGACAGTGTGTGATGTCACTGGTCGACAGGTGAACTTTAACGCAGCCAACATGATGATGCGACAGCCGGTATCCTGCCAGATTAGGAGGAACTTCCTGTCTGGGATCCAGGTGGAGTTCAAACAGTCACTTCACCAGCGCAGCCTGAGGGCCCAGCTGCACTGGCTGCAGGTAAACACACACATATGCAGACACACACACACACACACACACACACACACACACACCCCTTATTCAGTGCATTATCCTCCTATCCCCCTCTATATAACTGTGTAATAATCAAATCTCTACTAGTGCAATAAACATTCAGCTTCATTACTGTCACACCTGAATATTGTACTTAAGGAGAAGCATTTCCTAAATAATTCATGTACATCGTACAGTCACGACAAAGGTCTTATTTCTTATTTTCTATTGTATTCTACAACCCCAAAATGCTCAGAACTACTTACTAACAAATAATAAACGGACATGTTTCTATTTGCAGGTTGATAACCAGCTTCCTGGGGCCATCTTCCCCATTGTCTTCCATCCAGTTCCTCCTCCAAAATCCATCGCCCTGGACTCAGGTGATCTTTTTAGTTACCTGCTTTTCCATCTTGTGGAGTCTCTGTCTTTTAATCCTGTTTTCTCACAAACCAAACTGAGCGTACGGAGCTCTACTTCAGTGAGAACGCTCATTAGTCCTCCTTTTCTGGATGCTTCTTGTGTAAAATGATGCTAAAGAAACCATTACATTTAAGATATACAAATCTTACATAGACACTCCATGATGAACTTTCTCTTCCTGCAGAGGTCACATTAACACGCTTGCTATCAGCTGTTAGAGACAGAACATGCAGAGTTAACAGTGAATGTTTGATGAAGCCGTTTATGTTTGTTTATCTTTCTGCCGCTGCAGAGCCGAAGCCTTTCATCGACGTGTCCATCATCACCAGATTCAATGAGCACAGCAACGTCATGCAGTTCAAGTGAGTAAGCGCCAAAAGTAAAAAAGAAAGAGTAAATCTAAAACTGTCACTTATATTAATGTTTGTGTGCACGTCAGGTACTTCATGGCTCTGGTGCAGGAGATGGCGGTGAAGATCGATCAGGGCTTCCTGGGAGCCATCTTGTCTCTCTTTACGCCGGCTGCTGACCCCCTGACGGACAGACAGAAGGTAGAGGCGGAGTTAATGTTGGAGATTCAACTCGTCGACACATCGACAGCACACAGAGGGTTAATGTGTTTGTTTTCGTTTCCAGACGCAGCTGATAGAGAAAGATCTGCAGGTGCTTCAGGTCGAGCTGACGGAGGCGTCGCTCAACGACACGTCGGGACTCAGCTTCTTTGAACATTTCCACATCTCACCCATCAAGGTGAGGAGACGGGCACAGGGTTTAACTTCTTTTTAGTTCACCTTTAAACTTAATCAGAGCTGAACTGAATATACTAACTCAGTATCTCCTGAATTATCCATCATGACCTGAACTCTGCTTTTGCATGCCTCTTCTATATCTGATACTTCAGCTCCACCTCAGTCTGTCTCTCGGCTCGAGTGGCGACGACGACACGACCGAGGAGGTGGCGGCCATCAAGTCCTTTAACCTGCTGCTGAAAAGTATCGGAGCTACGCTGACCGATGTTGATGACCTCATCTTCAAGTGAGACTCTTCCTGCTGCTCAGAGTGTTTTTTTTTGTTTTTGTTTTTTTATGTGGGGAGATGCATTCTGGGCTGTCAGTTTAAGGAAACATCCCAAATAAAACACTGAATCTCTGACGTCTGTCCGTCTCTGTCAGGCTGGCTTTCTTTGAGGTGAAGTACCAGTTCTACCGCAGAGACAAGCTGATGTGGGCGGTGGGCCGACACTACAGCGAGCAGGTATTTCAGATTTCTGTTTGTCTGCACATCAGGACCCACCTGTGTTTGATCATGTTCGAGTTAAGGAGTGTGTATATGCCCACCTGCCTCTGAAAATTTAAGGAGGACCAGGCTCTGGCTCAGTGGGTTTCTTGGTTCTACAATTCATTTATCAGACGCTTTTTATCAAAAGTGACAAAAATCAGAGAGTAGGTACAACACAAGCGAGGATCTAGAGAGGAGGAAACAACAACAGGAAGTGCAAACAAACAGCTTAAGTCTGATCAGACACACAGGTGCAACCAGGAAGTGACCAGAGGCAGAGCACTTTTTTATAGTTAATATATTGTCAACAACAACAACATTGACACTGATCTCTGGAGAGATCTAATCAGCATCAAAGCCATCCTAAATATCATCATCAACATCATCATCATCATCATGAAGGTCGTAGATGTTCAATAAAGAGTTGGGTCTTTAGCTTTTTCTTAAAGGTGCTAAGTGACTGGAGAGAATGAAGTCTGGTGGTTTGTTCCACCACTGGGGGGGCGACAGAGGAGAAGAGTCTAGTTAGAGACTTAGGACCCTGTTGTGAAGGTTGGATCAGAAGCCTTTAATTGGTGGAGCGTAGAGGGCGGTGTAGACCTGGATGATGTTTGCAGCTCTGTAACGTTTTGCATCTTTTTTAGATTCCATTTGTCTTTTCCTTTTATCTAGTCATGCCTTTAAAGGTCTTAAGGCATCCAACCCCAACAATTAAAAATGTTTCTGGTTTGGAGACACTGTTAAAAAAAAAAAATTAGAGGGACTAGAGAACAAGGATTAAACCATTCTTGGCATCCACCAAAAATGATGCCTTTCCTTTTGTACTTCCTGTTTTGAGAATCCTTCGATTCCAGCCACACTGGATGAGATTTATAAAATCTTACATGGAGAAATAAAATACTTTTTAAGTCACATTGTTCTTATTAAATTTGGCACAGCTGTCGTCTCCTAATTCAACATTCAAACTGGGTTACATCTCTGTGTGTCTTCAGTTTAAATAAGTTCATTCCTGATTGAAGACCAGAGTTTGTTGTTTGTGGTTGCAGTTCCTGAAGCAGATGTACGTCCTGGTTTTGGGTCTGGATGTCCTGGGAAACCCGTTTGGACTGATCCGAGGTCTGTCTGAGGGAGTGGAGGCCTTCTTTTATGAACCATTTCAGGTAATAAAACATGCACACACACACAAACACAAAATACTGCCAACACTACACGCACAAAAATAAGATCAGCTTATATCAGCAGCAAAGAGCTCCTTCTGCCTTAAACATTGGAATCTAATCAGACTAGAGTGACTAACATTCGGGGAATCAGGAGGGCCGATTTAGAGAGCAGGGTCCAACATATCATCTTGAATGTCCGTCACAACCAGATTCACTGCTGAGCATTCTGCCCAGATATCCAAGTTTAATCACCGTCCAGTTGTAGCATTTTTCTTTTCTTTATCTGTTTAATATCGTCATACCTGTCCTGAGCAGAGTTTACACATCATGTCTTACACACTCCTCCATTATTATCTCAAAATGTAGAGTGAAGAGAAGCTGATGGGCCTTCTTAGCTAACAAATAGCCTAGCATTGAGTAACTACGTCATCCATGAAGTCCCCTTATACATATAGATACATCAAGGTCCTTTTCATATTGATACTAGTGTTTATCTGATGTTAAACTGACTGCTGTGTGTCCATCAGGGAGCTGTTCAGGGCCCAGAGGAGTTTGCAGAAGGTTTTGTGATCGGAGTCCGCAGCCTGCTGGGTCACACTGTCGGTAAGAAACTGCGTCTAAACAAGACCAGCAGCATATTCTTATCTACTGCCGTTTGAAAACACGTCTTTGAATTGTTTAAACTTTAAACTTTTGAGGTGAAATCCACCTATTATCAACTTTCTGTTCACGTGTGGGAGTAATGAAACGCACAGTATGTACCTGTAAATCAGCTGCCAGGGGGCTCCCCATTAAAACAGTAACAAAAATATGACCTTGAGGTTGGCGGGGAATCATGGGAGTTCTCTCTGCTACTTCTCTGCTTTTATCTGAGTTAAGAACTCCTGTTATACTGTATACTATGATGTTGTGAATGGTAGTCTGAATGATGGATGAGTCAGTGATGTCAGCTGGATATGTTGTCTCACCCGTGTCCTGCAGGTGGCGCTGCAGGTATGGTCTCCAGGATCACAGGGTCGGTGGGTAAAGGTCTTGCAGCCATCACCATGGACAAAGAGTACCAGCAGAAACGACGAGAGGAGATGAACCGAACGCCCAAAGACTTTGGAGGGAGTCTGGCTAAAGGAGGAAAAGGACTGCTGAAGGTACGGAGAGCGACTCTGAAATCAGGTCATCAGCTGATCTGAGGTCAGCAGGTCTGTAACACTCTGGTGTTTCCACAGGGCGTCGTGGGCGGAGTTACAGGCATCGTCACCAAACCTGTGGAGGGTGAGTGTAAAATGTTTTCATACGATCATTTACATCCTTTTAAAAACAACAACAAAGATGCAAAGAGAAAAATTACGAGCAAAAGTCTGTAAATATGGCTTGTTTTGGTCATGTTCCTTCTTACTCTGGTGTTAAAGGTCACATATTCTCCTCCTCTTGAACCAGTTTTAAATAAGTCTCAGAGCTCCCCAAAACATGTATGTGAAGTTTCTTGTTCTTAATCCACTCTGATCCTGTATGTGATCATGTCTATAAACCCCTCTATTTCAGCCCTGCTCAGAACAGGCTGTTGCTGTACCTTTAAATATGTAAATGAGCTGTGTCTGACCACGCCCCCTCTCTGGAAGGGCTTGGGTGTACTCAGGCTTTCTCGCTCCATGTCCTATTGTTTACGGTGAGAAGGCAGACTCAGAGGGCAGAACAAACACCTAGCTGTGGGAGTGTCACCCACCTGGGGGAGGGGCTACTGCCCTTTGTGATGTCATGAAGGGAAAATCGCCAAACGGCCTGTTTGAGCACACATTTTCTGAAAAGACTTTTCTCATCATTGGGGGGTTTGTAGACAGAATTCGGACACATATTAGTGTGCGAAAACCAACATGGTGACGTGTGCTATGCGTAAAGTGTGACCATTAAACTGATGATGATTTGTGTATTTGTGCAGGCGCAAAGAAGGAGGGAGCAGCTGGTTTCTTTAAGGGCATTGGGAAAGGCTTGGTGGGCGTGGTCGCGCGGCCCACAGGCGGCATCATTGACATGGCCAGCAGCACCTTCCAGGGCATCCAAAGGTACGCTGCACTTCATGAAAACCTTCCCAATATTTGTGTGTTTCCTGTTTTAGATAGTTAAAGCTGTGTGTGTATTTATTTTCTTTGATAGCTTCAGTGTTTAGAGTACAAATCGTTTCCAGTATTTGGCACAGTGAGATTCTTCCTGTGTTGTCTGTGTGCTTCTCTGTCTCTCTTCTTGTCTGCCCACTAATTTTTCACATGTTCTGCTTTTGTTTTCTGTCTCGTCTCGTTGTTTCCTGGAGTTTTTTGTTTTTTTCTTTTCCTTGTGATTTTGGTGTGTGAGTATTACTCATTGAGATCGTTAAAGCTCGGTTTTCTTCATCGCACTGCTCAAAGTCTGCTGATCAGGTTCAGAAACAAGTTACTTCTCGGGGCAATTTTTTTGTGTTGCAATGATTAAACCTAACCCGTCGACTCGAGTCAGACTGACGAGTGAGATGAAGGAGACGAGCTTCAGCGGCAGCTCTTGTGTGACTATGCATGTTATTGATGTCTGGCAGCAGCCCGATGGTAAGTTGCTGCATCGTGTCACAAATAGAATCTTCACGCCTCATTCTCACAGCATCCGTCATTGTAACAATGCTCGTAGCCCCGCTCCCTCAGCTTGCTGCGGCATCTTGAGTCGTACAGGCCACGCCCCTGAGGGATATGTCCACTCTGACTCTAAATGAATGGCAAAAACAAACAAAACGTTATTTATTTAATAAAATCAAACCCTAAAGGAAACAGCATGCGGACACAGGAAGTGCACACTACGCTGAATGTGAACCACAGCTTTTTAAGGACAGCAGTGTGTTTGGTAAAACTTTGACTCTGCAAGTTGTGTCATCAATCCAACTCCTGACTGACGGAGACACCCCGCTGAGCTTCTACAGGTTGTTCAAAGTTGAACCTTTACATGACTCTTGGTGGAAATAGGATTCCACCATCACCTGAAGAAACTGGTTAGCGGAAACTTTCTGTGATGTAAAACCTGTTAAGATTTGGGTGGAATTGGTGAATTCTACTTCTTACTTTATTTCAAAATAAAAGCACAAAGCAAGTTAAGTAGTCTCAGCTCAAGACAGTACAAAAATTCAAAATAAAAGACTGACAAGTTTTATTCTTAATGTGAAATAATAGAATTTTAAACATGAACGTGATTAATGTTGATTAAAAGTGTTATTCATTTGGGACGCTGGTGGCGCACGCCCCACGTATAGAGGCTGTAGTCCTCCAAGCGGGCGGCCCAGGTTCGAATCCCACCTGTGGCTCGTTTCCCGCATGTCATTCCCCACTCTCTCTTTCTCTCCCTGATATTTAAATTTTAAATCACTGTTTGTCCTTTGATTTTAACAGAAACAATACCTTATCTTGTGAGTATTAGATAAATAAATGTGTAAAATAAGAAAGTGTTACTTTTTGGGACTTGAGGGACTCCGTAATTGTGTCTGTAGTGACAAATATTAAAAATAATAAGTTGATATGATCGAGCCTACACAGACGTCTAAGTTTGTATAAGTACGGGTATGTTTTGGGAGTACCTGAAACAGTGAATGTGTGAACATGTTAGAATCTAAACCTGTTATTTGTCGTCATTATGTCAGGTTTTGGTAAAGGTACTGATGACTATTTAATGAGCTGACCAAACTGAACAAAAAAAACACAAATCTGAACTCTGCAACGACCTGCTTCTGTTCCTGAAACATTTCCTCAATGCCTCAGTGATCTTCATCACCCCCCCTCCCCCTCCCCTTCCCCTTCCCTCTGTTTGGGGCATCCATCTGTCATGTTACACATCAGTCAGTTCCTGATAACCTGTTTTAAATTACTGTTTCATGCTGTCACTGTAGAGGCCAAGAAAGGTGAGATATTGAGCAGCGTGAAGCACCTCACCGCATCATGTGCACTCGACATTAAACTGCTCTCTTTAAACAGCCTAACCGGGAGTTAGTGATTATCAGAAACATACTGATATAAAATAAAGAAGAACACATACAGAGCCCTGAGGAACTCCCTCTGTGTTAATTTGAGAGAAATATACAAAACATTTTTCTGATTGTCTTCTCCATGGTTCTTCTTAGGTAAGTAAATAAGTTCATGTGTGTTTTTTTTTGTGATGTCAGAGTGGCGGAGTCGACAGAGGAAGTGACCAAACTGAGGCCGGTTCGTCTGATTAGGGAGGACGGGATCATCCGACCGTATGACCTGACAGAGTCGCAGGGTTTTGACCTCTTCCATGTAAGATCACCATGATGCTCTATTTTTTTCAACAATGAATATGTACAACAATCAAAAGCCTGGCTGACACTGCAGGAGTTTTAAAATCCTTCGGGCAGCATCACACACTTTAGGAGAATCTTAACAGGTCACCTTCTGCATAATCTCAAACATGCTCACTCTACAAGATATGAAAATCATAGCACATCACTTACTACAGGATTTGACTAAGATAATCGTGCCCGAAATAGGAACGCAGCACCTCACCTGACCTCTCGTAAACAATGGAGCCGGCAATTTAATTTTAGTTTTTAATGCTTTGTGCAGAGAGAGAAAAAAACGAGTTAGGGTGAAGAAATGTCTGAAAGACGTGGACAACATGGATGGTTTATTCTTCATGAAGAGCTGGAGGTCAGATTGTAACTTCGAGCATTTCAGTTAACCAGCTCACATGCGGGTTGCCTCCTGCCGCCGGTCGCGACTACTACACTTATTACTGCCCTCCCTCGTCTCTCTCGATGATTGTAGTCACACACTACTCTTTCATGACGTAATTGTCAATATTTTAAATCCTAAATATCTAACATTCTTTATTTAAATCGGGTGCGTCCCCGACGATCGACAAGCAGACTGGGGGCTTTAAGATTGGATCTTTATAAGACTCACACTACAAGATCATCTGGGCAGATAATCAGTTTGGAGCAGCCTCGAGTCAGAAGTGTCCCCGATAGAGCGAGGAATCTTTGGGTGTCTCACGATTCGATTTTGATTCTTGGGGTCATGATTCGATTCAGAATCTATTTTCCATTCAAAACGATTCTGGATTCATGATTCAAAGTCTATTTTGAATACATACTTCAGGATCTCCTCCAGTCATCTGAGAGACTGGCTGAATTTCTTGCTGCTCCATTTGGCGTTCTACTGAGTTAAAGAACTAACATTAGCGCTTAGCATGGAGTGACTGAGCTAGGTACAGCCCACAGGGTAGAGCAGTCAGGGTACAGTTTACATTGTGTTACATTACAAATTGGCAGGAAGAGTGGGTATCAAGGCATCTTCAGCACAACAATGTGTTATAATAACCAGTTTTGGTGTCCTTTTTCGACTCTGCTTATGTCTGCCTCTAACCACTTTCTTCTCCTTCTTCCTCTTCCTCTTCCTCTTCTTCTTCCTCTTCCTCTTCCACTTCCTCTTCTTCTTATTTTACATGCAGCTGGATGAGGAATAAAGAGGGTTTGCTTCGCTCAACTTAACCCTTCAAGTGCTTTAAGGACCATAAATTATATTTATCCTTTATAAGACAAATCTGAAGTGTAATAATACAGAATAAATATATATATGTATAATGACTTGTAATTTCTACAGTATTGTATAAACATTGTCAGTCTACCTTAATCAATGAATATCGTTGTATATACACCTATAAATACTGTCCTCCTTTAATTTCTGTGCACGCCAAGCGAATATCTTCCTCTCATACCTCAAACATTTTTTACACTCAGCTCCGTTTGATGACATTTTTTTAAACGCAGAAATCAGCTTTTTGTTTCTGATTTACCGAACTGACTGATTCTTTTCAGTTTCTAACCATTTCTTAACGATAGTTTGTATTCTAGTTTTTATTTATAAGCATTTATAATTTGATGAATGAGGCGTTGTAAATCTTCTTCTCTCATAGAGCTTAGCACTATTTTTGTAACGAATCGTAGCGCCCCTTTTCATTCCCAGCGTGTATATGATATAATGATTCTGTCTCTGTGGTGATTTCTTTGTATATTTAAGTGTGAACTGATTATAATCTTCAGTGATGCAGCATGACCTCTCACACTGTTGTGCTGTGTGTAACCGTGTGTGTCACTGTGTGTGTGGGTGGCTGTGGCTCAGTTGGTAGAGTCGTCGCCAGCTGAGCAACATGTCCGATGTGTCCTTGGGCAAGACACTTAACCCTGCATTGCTCCCGCTGCTTCTGTGGCGGTGTATGAATGGATTAGTGTTGTACTTACTCTCTGATTTACGTCGCTTTGGATAAAAGCATCTGCTGAGTGAATTGTAACATTGTGTGTGTTTCCCGCAGCTCTGTAACCGAGTGTGACATCTTTAATAAAACTACACTCCTTATTCTCACGCTCTCTTTCTTTACCCTGCAAACGTTTTTCTACTTTTCTATACATCAGACGTCTTTCTTCAAAAGTGTAATGTGATGAGCAGGATCCTGACACAGAGCAGAGACTGCCTCTTACTTTACATTTCCTGCCTCGTCTCTTTTAAAGGTCATATAATCTGTAAAAAACACTTCACCATGTTCCTCTAACACTAATATGTGTCCCTAGTCTGTCTACAAACCCCCCAATAATGAGAAAAGTCCATCCTCTCCGTCTTTTGCCTGCTCCTCTTTTCAGAAAATGTGTGCTCAAACAGGCCGTTTGGAGATTTTCCCTTCATGACATCACAAAGGGCAGTAACCCCTCCCCCAGGTGGGTGGCACTCCCACAGCTAGGTGTTTGTTCTGCCCTCTGAGTCTGCCTTCTCACCTTAAACAATAGAGCATGGAGCGAGAAAGCACTGAGACACCCAAGCCCTTCCAGAGAGGGGGCGTGGTCAGACACAGCTCATTTCCATATTTAAAGGTACAGACACAGAAACAGCCTGTTCTGAGCAGGGCTGAAAGAGAGGGGTTCATAATCATGATCAAATACAGGATCATGTAGAAATGTAGTGCCTTGACAGGTTGGTGGTTCACACGTATTCACATTTAGCCGCGTCAGCTATGTGATAGTGTGACATCACAGTGTAGCCGGCTATTAATTATCAACGAAGAAGAAGAACAGAGACAAAGTAAACAAAAGGGACCCTTTAGGGTCAGATCGGTACCCTTGGCACCCCAACAGAAGGATACCGAAAAAGTAGGACGGGACAGATCCAGTATCTTGGTTCCATTACCAACTTTTGAAGGTGGAAACGCCAACAAATGGCTACCGAGCCGAACCGAACTTAACTGGACCGCTTAGTGGAAACACGGTGCTCAGGGTGATATGTTCTCCTCGATCAATAAGAAGGAATGGTCAGACTCTGGAATCGCTTCATTTATATGTCAGATGACAGGACCAGCAAGAAGAAGGTTTCTCTTTGGTAGTAAACTGTCAAGTTCTTCATGGGCAGCAGAGCTTCACGCTGTCTTTGAGGAGGCTGAATTACATCTATAGAAATAATCCAACGTGCAGTTTGAACACAATCAGAAAGAATTGACTAGCTGGTTATAAAGAGAAATGGTTCAGTGATATCTTGTTGCAACCAAAATGACGGACATATATTCAAATCGCTGAATCCTACGTTAAAGCAAACTTCAACAAGAGGTGTTTGGTCGCTCGCGTGAGAACAGGAATCCTTCCTTCTCGCTCTTGAAGCCAGCAGGAAAAACATCCCGGAGGAACACAGGCTGAGTGAACAATGTGATTCAGGAGAAGATGAGAATGGATCTAATTTTCTTCTCTATTGTCCATTTTATGAAGAGTGTGTAGTTAGTCCGTTTTGGGCTGGGCATATTGTTTACACAATAATAAAATACAATCAGGCAATCAAAATATACAAGCATTAAAAGTGGCTGTGCCATGTTTTTCAGAACAAACCGGGATAAAGTGACCCTATAGAGTTCAAGAGTTAACAGTTACTGCTACAGGAGGTAAAGTGTCCGAGTATTGCACGTGTTTATGAAGTACTGGTCTTATTGCACCTCATTTGCATGCACAGACAGGTATGCACATACTATTACACTGTGGTTAGATACATAGATGTGTTTAAGTCCCCAAACTTAAAGTATCTAAAAATAGACTTTTAGACATGGTCACAGATCTGGTTTGCTCTGAGCTACAGCTCCTTGATGTCCCGTGTGTGTGTGTGTGTTTGACCATGTTGTGTTTTTGCTTTCAGCGCTCCGAGATCAAACAGCTGGATGGTGAAGTGTTCAGAGATCACTGTCTGTACCCCGGACACAAAAAGACAAACATCATCGTCACAAACAAGTAAAAACCGTTAACCAAAACCTGCAAGAGTTCCCTCCTACTCTCTTCTGTTTGTAGTTTTTTTTTTTTATTATGGTCTTTGTTATTTTTGTGTTTGACTGTGTTATTTATTCATCATTAAGTATGTTCATTGAATTGTTTTAATGTGTTGTTGTTGTTATTGTCATCATTGTGCAGGAGGGTGATGTGTGTGAAGGAGGTCAACTTTGTGGGTCATTTCAACAAAGAGTGGGAGTGTCTATTTGAGAACTTCTACCGTCCTCCAGCTGTGACGGGGACTGAGCTGAAGATCTACTGCAAGGTACCAAAAAGAAAGAAGCTAAATCTACGAGCAGCTTTTAACAAGCTCCTCCCCCTCCTCTCATGTCAGGATGTGTTTGAGTCTAAAGCTGTAAGAGGGGATGTTTGGTAATGGGGGGGGGGGGGGGGGGCGAAGTGATTCCCCTCTGTATCATCTTCAGAGGTAGTAACAGAGGTGTTACAGAGAAAGAGACGGGATCAGCTGGGAGTGCAGGCGAGGTATACCTGAGTGAAAAGAGCTTCTGTCTGTGTTTCAGGAGCAGCAGAAGTTAAAGTTACCAAAGAAAGACCATCAGGAGCCTGTGAGGAACATCCAGCTCCAAGACACAATCACTGCTCAGGTACACACATGTTTCTGTCTGGATGTTTGTGTCTTTACATTTCCTGTTGCCATGTTTTTTTGGGTTTTTTTCACCCTCCCTCCCCTCTGTTACCATGACTACCAACAGAAGCTGCAGGCGACCATATCGGAGGCTCAGGTGGCGCAGCAGCAGCACCGCATGGCGAGACAGAAGTCGCAACGCTTCCTGAAGCCGAACAGCAAGCACTGAGGTCACTTCCTGTCGACTGCTGATTTATAATCATCTCACCCCGCACCTTTATGAAAGAAAATAATAATAATGTAAACACCTGTATTAATCAGACAGCTCCTGCCATAACTATGTTTACACTGCTGGCTGTCTCCATGGTTATGTTGTGAAGAGGAAGTGCCACTTTTTGTTTTTTATTTCTTTGTTTGCACTTTTCTTTAAGTTTTGTCACTTTTTCCTCTGTTCTCCACTGTTCTTTAATTTTTTTTTTTTAATTGACCACTTCTTCACTTTCTGACTCATCATTTAACGTACACAATCTGATATTTAAATCTGAGGGGCATGATGAGGTTTTGGAAACAGAAATGTCTCCATCCAGACCACAAATTGAGATTTTTTTACTTCCTGAATGCCAAGTGATGCCTCATTTTGATTGGATAGATGGCATGATGAAGAAAGATCAGGTCAGTAGAACGCAGATGTAACAGTTTTGTTTTTTACATTTTCTTAAAGGAAGAATGTGCGACATGTTCCACATAAATAAATCATAAATTAAGTCTCTCCTGTGTAAATGTGTCTCTGAGTCATGACTGTCTACAACGAGGGAGAAGCTTGAGTCCCGCTGGCTGTGTTGTTGTCAGAGCCGTGTTTACATGGACGGGACGGCCGGCTCCTCCCCTTGTGTATAAAAGCTGTTTTAGTCAAGAACTAGAGAGAAGAAGAAGAACATACTCATACCCTAACATTAGCATGCTAACACAAAATTTTGTCCACCGCTTGCGCTACGAGTTGAGAGGGGTTAGGGGTGTGTCTCTGGTGGAGAGCAGAGGCTTCAGTATGGAGGAGGCGTGGCCAAACAGCAGTTTGTTTTGGTTTCGTTCTGGAGTTTAAAGTCGCACATTCTTCCTTTAACCCTGAAAAAGAAAGAAAGAGACAAACACACTAAACTCAGCAGTGGATAAGTTCAACTTTCTGTTTCTCCCTTTGACTGTTTATAAAGATGGACGACACATCATCTCCTCCTCCTGATAAAAATGTATCCTAAATATCCCCCCAGCAACAAGCGCTGACATATTGCACATTGAGGAGGCGGAGCTTATGATGTAGTTTGCCCCCGGTCAGTAGGGGGAGCTCCAAATGATTTGGCTTTACTTTCAGAGAGCGGCCGTGTTGTTTTATTTGTATACAGTCTCTGGTTCCTCGTCTGAACATGCTCAGCTGGAGAAGCGGACTGCACGCCGTCTTGTCGCTTCTCCTTTTAAGTTTTGTCCCTTTTTAAATATTTTTTTTATTTTCATTGTTACGTTTTCTTAAAGGATCATGACACCATGTTGAACATCAGCTGATGTATTTGTTAAAACATGGCAGCTGGAGGACTTTTTTATTTGGTATAGTTTTTATTTTGAGGCGGAGTGTCGCGGCGTTTCCGTCCCCGCTGTTCGCCTGCAGGCCGCGCTGCCGCACGTTTGGAAGAAGAAGCCATGAAAAGAACATGAAGCACTAATAATAATGATTAGTGCAATACTAATAATCAGTGTGTGTGGGTTTCATTCATGTGGATCACAGAAGAAGCAATAAAACTATCAGATCGGATCTTTCTCTGTTTACTAACTGAAGAAATAAAACTGAAGGTGACGAGGTTACCTGTGAATGTTAAATCTCTTTGATTCATACCTTCTGACTTTGACTCACTTCTTTTATTTGATATCTTGGCTGTAACCAAACATCTGTTTATTGTTCTTCATGTTTGTGTTAAAAAAAAAAAACCTGAAGACCTGAATAAATCTCTGAAGAACTCGTAATGTCTGCTGTCTTTGTGTGAACCGTCACTGCTGCAGATTTTAAAAGTTTAGATTTATTAACGAGCTGATTGGGTGTTAATATAAAAATGTTTAAGTTCTGGTTTTTAGTTGTTGCAGTTGTGACTGAACTTGGCTGAACCGTAGACATCACCTACATTTTTTTTCATCTTTTTTTCTTTTTTACATTTATTTAACAAGGTTGGTCCCAATGACATTAAAAACCTCTTTTTCAAGAGAGACCCGGCTGAGATGTCACAGACAGAGACACAAAGGGAGACAAAGTGCAATTTACAAAACACTCAAATATGCATTTAAGAGAAAAACCATCTGAGTCAAATCTGGGGGTCAGAAGTTCAAGCAGTCGAGCTGAAAACATCGACTTCCTGTGGAGTCTGCTTCCAGGTATTTCATTTGAGATTTAAAAAACCTTGAAGGACTCCAGCTCCTTGAGTTTCAAGTCGTTCTGCGACAGATTCCAGGCTGAGGGTTGCGGGATACCCAAAAAGCCCTTTTCCAACTTTCTGTTATAAAAAGGTCCTGAGAGCACAAAGAATACACTCTGGTACATTTCTGCATGATAAAAACACAGAGGTAGAGTTGGATGCAGAATTTTAAGAATGATCTAATTCAGTATATAAAGGTGAAACAGTGTGTGTGCCTACAGGTTGACAGAGCACGCCATCCTACCCGAGAGTACAACTCAAAATGAGTCAGATGATCTTCACAGTTTGTAATAAAACCTCAAGGATGCTTGGTAGGATGTGTCAACCATATGGAGACTGAGCAGAGGCGTGCATGTAGAAAAACATCACCATAATGTAAGACAGCGACAAGACGCTTTTTTTTTACATTAACAGAAAAACACAACTTGTTTCTAAAAAGTTTTTTTCACCAGACACAGTACATGTGGTTTGAAAGTAAGGGACTCATCAATTAAAATACCAAGAGTATTTGTAAGAGTTTACAACCTCAATTTCCTTTCTATCAACAGTATAACAAATTAAATGCAGATGTACCGGTAATTCAATAATCCTCAGGCCACTTGATATTTTTATCATATAAATATTGATCTTGTCCATGAATCCTGCATCTGAGCGTTCATGTTTCAGGTTTGTTTTGAGGTTAAGGTTGTTTTTTCTTACCAGCAGGGGGCGGCAGAGACGCGCTGAACCTGGATTTGGATTCAACGTGTGAAGAGGGTATCCAGTCCAGATCACTCCACATACTGTATAAACTCTACTGGTTTCACTCTCTCTCACACACACACACACACACACACACACACACACACACACACACTCTATTGTGCCAATGCTTTAAATTCTGTTGTCATGTCAACGACAGAAAGAGAGAAAAAAGGATGCAGATGATTTCCAGATGTGGGGTGTTTTGCTGACTTCTTATTAATTTTTTAAACAGAGCCGTATTCTCATTGGTCCATATCTGCCTGGAGTAAGATGTGATTGGTTGGACATGTGTAAAGGACCCCCCCTCCCCCCCTCCGGTGCATCATGGGCAATTCTCCTGCTGTAATCTGACCTGGGATCTGCTGCCGTCGGTGAAAACATCTGGAACAGAAAGAGAAACAGCTGATTTCTGGCTGCATGAAACAGGATGAGCTGATGTTTATCACATGTCTGATCTGAGAGCTGATTGGTTCGGCGGTTTGATTTACAATATCAGGTTTTTATTAAACTGTAAGCTTTTTGTCTAATTGGAGGGATTGTAGTTTATTCAACTGTTTCTGTTTCTCTTTTGTTTTATGTGGTTAGTGGTTGATGGAAGAATAATAACAATAAGAAGAAGAAGAAATAATAAAAAACATGATCAAAATCAGTGGCATGTCTCAGTACGACAGAGAGCGCTTGTGTTACCTTTACATCAGTGTATTGATCGTGCTGCAGGCCTCAAGTGCAAGGCAGTTTTTCTCCTCTTAAAACGGCGATAAAAAAATCAAAAGGCAAACAATGTCTACGTGTTTTGTAGATAAGGGGACAAAACATCCTTCAGTTCATTGAAATGCATGAATTCAATCTGTTATTACGAGTAATTTACGTTTGTTCTCTCTCTCGACTTATTCATGTCTCTATCTCGAGGTAACCGGGTTGCATTTCCCGTCATAATGAATTGATTTCTCAAGAACTCAAAAATTACCTCAGTATCATGAAAAAGTCCAGCGTTGTTATCCAAAGATAACGAGGTGAGTAAGTGGAGATCGAGAAAAGAAGCCAAATGTACGTGTTGACATTGGAAAACAAATCCCCGGAAAAAAAAGAAAAGAATTCCTCCTGTTGCCTTGTGTCTCATTCAGGTTGACCTCGGGTTAAAAGGGGCGGAGCCAGTTAATTTGAATTCATGCACCTGGACATGCTATTTAAACTGGCTTCTCTCGCTCTCTCTCTTGTCAACACTAACTTTGGTATGTGCTCTTTCTTTTGCCTCCACAACTTCTGACACATTTAGACTGCATATTCCTTTCTTATGACGTTTTCAATAAATGATCGTTAAATTAATTTCAAACTGTGTGATCTCCCTCTTTGTCCAGCTCACTGAGCCTGAGTTGTGTCAAAACTGAGAAATGTCATTGTTTATGGAAAGTTGGATGCACATTTTGAATTCAACGCCAACAACATGTAGTTGGGACAGTGGCAAGTTGTGAAATGCTTAAAAAAAACATCTCATAGTCAATAAGGTGAACTGTCAACGGGTTAGAGACATGATTGGGTGTAAAAACGATCGTCCCAGAGAGGCGGAGTCTTTCTGAAGTCCCTCCATAAAAAACTGGGCTGAAAATGGTGCAACAATTCAAGAAAACATAATTGCAAAGAATCTGATAAATTCATCATTTAAAGTTCATTATATCATAAAATAGCCACAGAATCTGAAGAAATCTCTGAAGAGACAAAGCCATGAGCGATAATGGACGGCTGTGCTCGTCAGGCCCTCAGGCGGACGAGCATCAAAAACAGACTACCTATCTCTTGAGTTTCTGTAAATTTAATGATTCACCGTTCTTGGTCAATGTAGGATTTCAGCTGCTCAACAGTTCAGGGTCTTCATAATGCTCCAAATATTTTCAATGGGTGATAATGTGGGACTGCGTGCAGGCCACTTTATCACCCAGACTCTGTGCACGCTGAATGTGGTTTGGCATCGCCTCGCTGAAGTAAACAAATCCCTGAAAGAGAAGTCATCCAATTGGCAGCACATGTTGCTCCAAAGCCCGGTATGTATGCTTCAGCATTAATGATGCCTCCACATTGATCAGTTAATGGTAAATAGACTTCAGCTTGTGTAGCCTTTTTCTAGTCTTCTGACTACTCAAAGTGCTTTTACACTGCAGGTCACACCTTCACATTCACACACTGATTGTAGAAGTTGCTATAGCCACGTTTCCAATGAGCGGTCCGGTTTGGTAATAATGCACATTTATCGGCTTTTCCGCTTGGTACTGTTGGAAATGGTACCAAAATAACTAATCTGTACCGTCCTATGTTTTTTGTACCCTGCGTACCGGGTGCCTAGCCGATCAGACCCTAAAGGTTGTTGGAGCTAGACTCACTGCAGTCCGTTGATTGGTCGGAAGAATGATCACTTCCTGTGCAACAGTGGTAATAAAGGAAAAACACCAAAACGCATCATGTTTAAATATCCTGTGGCTTTGGAGTCATTTCAAGGCTGTTTTGATTTTTTGTTTTATTTGCAACTTTTGTCAGTGTGTA